GAAGGGCTTCCCCAAAAAATCTCCAGCTGTGTCCGTCTACATCTCTACATCTCTCTCTGTTTGTGTCTGTGTGTCTGTGTTGTATCTGTTTGTGTGTACTAAGACTTTGCCTTTGTGTTTGCCTTGAACTCTGGGCATCCTGTTTCCTGTTTACAGCTTTAACAAGCATTCGTTTCATTGGGTTCATTGACTAAAGGTGTTTTCTAGACCGAAAATTGTGTGAGTAATGGTTGCAAATGGGGCGCCTTGGGGTTGCATTTCCAAGGTGTGGCAACAAAAGAAGTTGCAGAATTGAGTACAGAAATTCAAGATAAATTATTTAAAGATTTAAAGGTGATGTGGGCCTGAGGGAGCTGTTTCCATTTATTAGTTGCAAGCCAAATCTCTGCATAAATCAGTTATTGAGCTGAGCTATTGCCTTTCTGAAACCTTAAATAATTCTGCAGTTTATAAAATTTGTTGTTAGATATTCAATAAAATAAGGATAAGGATAATAATATAATCTACGCCTAAAATATATAGAAATGCGTTGGTTCATTTATTTTTAGGTAATAGGATTTATATTCACCCAAAACTGTTTAGTACTCCTTTATTTAACTCTATTTAATTCCCTTAACCCCTTTTCAAATAGAAATTTTGCAGTTCAAATGGAACTGCATGAGAAAAAGCCAACCAGTCCAGAAATGCTTTGCCCTGATTGACAAATATATGTTGGCAGCTAAATCAAAACAAATATAAATCTTTTTGGACCCCACCCATATTTTTTGGCTAAAACTAAAACTGAAAAACCGAACAGGACATTAAGCAAAATGAAAGATGACACAATAGATGGCGCACAATCTGAGGTTCCTCTGGCCAAAAGGACTTTTGCATTTCATTGACCCTTTAAATGGCAAAGATACACAGATACAGATGGCAAACCCCGCACCACGCACCCCGCACCACACGGACGTACGGACGGGGTCCTCTTCCATTGCATCGCCTATATACAGATGTACCGGAGCATAAGTATAGGATGTGCGATATATGTACTCTTTAGGGGGGGGTTTCTCTTGCATGTCAGTCAAAGTTCTTCTGGCTGGGAGAAAAATTTGATTCGAGAGTTTATTCAATTTGCTGGCATGTGTATCGCCCCCGGAGGGTGCAGCAGCAAGAGCAGGCAGCAGGCAGCGGCAGCAGCATCAGTAGCAGTAGCACATCCACAATCCACATGACGTTCAACTGATGTCTGATGGACAAGCAGAACAGAACGATAGCAGGCGGGAGGGGTATGGGGGCTGCAGGTGGACTCCTCCTCGCTCTCGCTCTGAACTCTGCCAATATAATACAATCAACGTTGGGTCTTCGATTCGATGCGCATTCGATGCGTTTGCCGTTTTTGAGTTGGGGGGGATTGAAGTGGGAGTGGGAGTGGGAGTGGGGGGGACGGAGGTGTACGGTGTACCGTTGCGTAGGCACAGCTACACAGCACAGATACATGCACACTCTCACAACACACTCGTGGGTACACACATTCTCTTTTGCTCTCTTATATGCACCATACACATAGGCTCGTTTCATTCACTCGTTAAAGCTTTTTCTTCGATTTGCATTCGCTCTCTCGCTCTGGCACTATGTACTCTGTTGCTCTGCATGTCCTGCCTGCCTGCCTGCCTGCACTGTACATGCCAGCTTTTTGGGGTGTGAGGGGTTGGGCAGCAGTATCCTGGGGTCCTGGCCACACATGCGTTTGGCCTTTTGCCTGGCACACATAGGGGCAGTGGCAGTGGCAGCGACAGCGACAGCATCGCGGCGCTGCTTTATATGGCGCAACTGCTGATTTGGTTCGCACAGTGCAACGAATCGATGGATATTTGGTTGGAGATGCTTACCTGAAATAAAAGTGAAGAAATTTTGGGAATTAGTTAGGGGAAACAATTTTTTAAAATTAGTGTAAAAACCCAGTTATATTTAAGTAATCAATGTATAAAATTATTTGTAATTTAATAAATATAATCGCATATTTAATTTTTATTATTTTATTTTTAAAATTAATTTTTACTATTTTATTTTTAGAATTAAATTTTATATTATTTTTTAAAAAATATGTTAAATAATATTTCTAATTTAATTGAATTATCTTTATTAACCCTTCAACCCCTCAAACCTTTTAGTGTTTGAAACTAATCAAATTTTCATTCAATATTATTTAACCCCCAGCCGAGGCATTTCGTGCCACTGTCCACAAAAGGCAATGCAAAAATTGCGCCAGCCAATGCAGCGACCGAAAAAACAACAACAGCAATATATGCGTGGAGCAGGAGAGTAGGTGGCATGGACAGAGAGTGAGAGAGAGAGAGAGCGGGAGATAGAGTGAGCGGGTGGAGGCTGCGCTGCGGTGCGTCACGATAAGGATGAGGACGTGGCGAATATGGTGGGACATGGCGGGACATGGCGGTGGCAGCGACGCAGCCTATTTCGCTGCCCGTGCAACGGGAACACCAACAAAATTAAAAAGGGGTGGCAAAGGGGTAGGGAGAGCGGCAGCAGCAGCAGAGGCCGACAGGGACATCTACGCAGCAGACGCACAAAATCCAATACCCAAGAGAGGGGAGGGTGAAATAAGAGGGACTGAGAAGAGGTGGCGCTGGCCGAAGCCCGAAGCACTGGGCAGAGGCGTAGGCTAAAGTGCAGCGGAGGCGGGCGGAAGAAGCAGCAGCAGTGGCAGCAGCAGCTACAGTGACAGTGGAGGGAGAGCAGAGAGGGGAGGCAGCAGGAGATGAACAATGGACAGGCACAGTCGTGCACACTAAAATGCAGTCCGGGGGGAAAAAACAGGACGAAAAGCACACGAGAGCCACACACACACACAGAGAGCGAGAGAGAGAGAGAGAGGCAGAGAGACAGAGAGGGAGAGAGAGAGAGGGAGAGAGAGGGGTAGGGAGTGGACTATGTACGAAATGGGATGTCATGTATTGCCATTGACCAGGCCGGCCTGGCCTGTCCTCCCACCTTGCTCTCACACCACACTCTGTCTTTCTCCCTCTCTCGCTCGTTCTTCATGTCTTCCTGCCTCTCTCTCGCTCTCTCTCTCTCTCTCTCTCTCACTTGTTTACCAATTTATTTTGCGCACAATACGAAACACGGAAAATGCATGAGGCGGCGAGGCTGGCTGCAGGCCCCACACACACACAAATACATTCACTATTCCCCCCGCACAGTACTCCTCTGTCCATCACATAGCCACAAACAAAAAAAAAAAACGATGCGTTCCAAACGAAACGCAATGATAGCCACAGCAGAGCCAGAGCTGTGAGCACTGGAGAGATGAGAGGCCAAGAGAGGCAAAGCAGAGGCATAAGCAGAAGCGTAGCTGTGGGAGAGGCAGTGCAGCCAGCAAGCAAAGCACTCAGGAAGCAGAATAGAAACGTAGGCTAGCATTTTCGGTGCTCCAAACCAATTGATACCCTGGAAGGTGGATCTATATGGGGATAAAGTACTGCGATTTTTATGATTTTAACCCAAGCTACGAACTGGAAATGAAAGTAAATTTTGTTAAGTAATCAAATACCTTCTATTATATACCTTTCAACTGCTTATGCTGCTTCATTTAATGTATTTACTCCAAAAGCAACATACCCTCTCGGCCAGCCACTGCTCATCACGAGAAGAGTACGAGAAGCAACAACAAAAATTTGCACAAATTCCAGTTCGATTTTTGGTCATAATGCAAAGGAAAAAAAAAAAAAGAAGAAGGAATAAAGAAAGCTCTCCGCTCTGCACTCTCTTTAGATATACACCCCCCGCACACTCCCCTCCTCTTGGACAGCATGCATTCATTTGCTTGCCATCTCTCTTCCGCCTAGTGGCCCCGTTGCTTTTTCTTTGCTTTGGCGGCTTTTTCTCTGTGTCCTTTTGGATCCTCTTCCTCCTGCTCTCCGTTGCCCACCGTTTGTTATGTTTTGTGTTTGCCACTTTGTGCGTGGATTCTGCCGTCTTCTTCTTTTTCTCAGTTTCTTTTCGTTTCCCCCATTTCGCCCACTATGCTTTTCTTTATTTTTTTCTTGTTTGTAGCTGCAATTTTGTTGTTGTTTGTTTTTGTATTCCTGCTGCGCCCGAGCCTTTCACTTTGATAGAGTGGGACGCCAGGCAGAAAATTTCATTTTCTTTTCTTTTTTGAAGTGCTCTTTTTTGGGAGGGTATTATAATTTTTTAGGTTTTTAATTTTTTATTTAATATAATTCGATAAAGCAGCGATAACTTAATTTTAAATCTATTTCTATTAAACACACAACTTCCAGGGCGTTTTTTTGCTTTTATAAGGGCATCTAAAATTCGTTATTTTTCGCACACATTTTTTCGCTTTGTATTTTTTTTTTTTTGCCACTTTTTGTTGGATTTTGCCCCTGACTTCTGCGCTGGCGATGTCCCTGAAGTAAGGAGTAAAGCTTAAGCCTCCTCCTCCTGCTCCTCCCATGTGTACATGGCTCGTAGTAGTACGTTTTTCTAGCCATAGTACGCGGCGTACTATTTCCAAGTCAGTCATCAGTCGTTGAAAAAAAAAAAGTGGGAAGTGGCAATGGAAATAGAACGAAGGATGTATGAAAGGGAAGTCCTGCCACAGCGCGTATTGAAAGCAAATGTGGCACAAAGGATCGCTGAGATGTGGCCAGCAGAAAAAAATGCACAAACCAGCAAAAGGAAGCATCAGGAAATGCCAGAGAGACACAATTTCGTAAGCAAATTTTTCTCTCGCTTTTTTTATGCATTTCTCAAGGAAACACACACACACACACACACACACACATGCCTTGTGCATCCTGGCGACTTTGACATAGATGGAGAGTTGAATACTGAAGTGCAAAATTAATGGAGCTGCTATTTCTGGTTGTATTTTTTATGCGATTTGGCCTAAAAATTTGTTGGAATGTTAGATCAAATATCGAGAGAACACAAACGAAATACTTGAAAGTTTCACCGAGTTATATACAGTTTAAGGATTGTGGAAACGAAGGATCATTGATTATTCCATCAAACCTAAGCGTATTTGTGTCCTAGAAAATTTGCCTCATAATATAACTTCAAGTCAATGAAAAGTTCAACGACGAATCTTTTAAAATGTTTAACAAACTTTTTGCTTTCCTTTTGATTTTGCTGCCAATTTTAACGCTGCAAAAAGGCTTCAGCTATCATGTGGCAAAGTTCCTGCTACCGGGCGAGACGCACAGCCACGAGGCACAGACCCTGATGCAAAAGTTCACCCACACGAATCGCGTGCAACTTTTTTGCCAGACAGTGGAAGTGTTCTCATTCTGGAGGCTCTTTCAAAGCAATCGCCTCCATTTGGAGATCGAAGAGGGCGCCGAATACAATCAGTACAAGGAGCAGACTGCGCATGAGATCTATCAGGCGCATCGCGAGCGCAAGGAGTGGAACGAGGGCAAGGCCATGACGGGAGAGCATAAGTATATTGATATGAAGAAAAATTCGCATATATGCTATGGGATCTACACGGAACAGGCCTTCAATCTCACGCTGGAGACCATCCACACCGACAAGTGGCGTGTGACCAAATTCTGCCTTGGATTTATTCTGTGGCAGGCTGCACCGCACCTCGAGAACTCTGAGCGTTGCCTGTACGGCGTGGCGGCATTCTTGGGCTTCCAACTGGCCGCCTGGATTATGATTTTGGTCACTGGGCATTTGCGCTTGGTGCTCGGCGGATCCCTGTGGACGGCCTTCCATGAGGTGCTCTACGAGCGGCCCACAACATTGGCGCTGGCATGCAGTGGTTGCTTTTATGCCCTCGCTTTGGCCTGTCGGCAATTTGATCATCTGTTGTGCCAACATTGCCGCTTTCGTCATGTTCATCGCTGGATTCTCAGAGGCATTGCCTACTGGTTGATTTACACTGCCTCGGATCACCAGGATATCGGACTTTTCTGTGTGGTTTATTTGTTTTTCTACTCCAAGATCTTGGCGCTGCTTGGTCACCTTTTTTGGAGTTGCATCAAATTGTTGTGCCCCTTGCTGCCGCCGCCAGACAGGCAGCAGGAGACGGCGCAGCCTTTCTTTGACATCTCCCAACTGCAGCGAGTGCCCAGCAACACGGCTGACGGGAGTTATGTTTGGGCTGTGCCGGGCATGTCCAATACGGATGGTAGTGGCAACGTGGCAGGTGGCACGACATCTACGCCTGTAGTCCAGGGAATCCGGCTGCCAAACTCTGTTGCTGACCATCCCACTGCTCTTATCTTCAGGGGCCAGGACAGAACAGCATCGAGCGATATATATGGCATCAGCAGGGAAACGCTCGTCACGTCCAGGCCCATCTTTAGGGGTCGCGTTGGCCCCAACGATTCCCCCCCAATGGGCGTTCAACGCTCCTCCACTTCTGCAGAGAACCCGCGGAGCCGAAGGAACACTTTTTCGACGGCTACACTGTACCACAACGTAAACTACAGCGACTCAAATGGGGATACACGCGCTCAATAGTGATCCTGCCAAAGGATCTCCTGTACACCTCAAACACACACGAAAAATAAGCGGAGGAAAAGCACAGAAAAACCATAAGGAAAAACTGGAAGGGGCAAAGCACACGAAAATCAAGAAAGAACTAAGGAAAAACTAGAGGGACAAAGCACAGGCAAAAACCGAAAGAAAGAAAGAAGGCAGGAAAAACTGAAGGGAAATGCATTTGATAATTGAAAAGCAAAGCCCACACACGCACCCAGGCAACGGAACACGTGGAAAACCTACATCAATGTGCAGAGGGGAAAAACCTTTTCATACAGCATGGAAAAATGCCCTCAAGGCAGCGGGCGGACAGCAAGGCAGGCAGCAGGCAGGACAGCAGGACACGAGAAATCGAATCGGAAGCCAAAAGGAACATTTCAACATTTTGCCATTTTGCCATGGAAACTGCAGCAAGGGGGGGCAGGCAGGCTGTGTGGGTGTGGGGGTGGTTGGGAGGCGTGGCAAGCAAAGTGATTCGAAAGGCAACACAAAGTGGAGTCCAAGGAGGGAGCCACAAAACGGAAACTGGACTCCAAGGCAGGAGTACTGCATCGCACAAACGAAACAGAAAAGTGGAGTCCTGGTTCAAGGAAAAGGCCTAAAACTACAGTCCGGGGCATACAAATGGCAGCGGCAATTGAAATAATTATGGGGAAATGAGAAATGAGAGCGAAATCATCAAAGGGAAATTAAAATAGGAAAATTGGTCATCAAAGGTTTAGGCAAATGGGCAAGAAATTAGCAAAGTGATGCGAAAATAAGGGAAATTCAAACTATATTGGGGTGAAAATTGTTTTATTATATTGTGTGAAAATTGTTTTATTATATTGGGGGTGATAGTTATCAATAATTGTTATATTTTATATACATTTTTATATACGAGAATTAAATGGGATAATTCTTCGTTTGTTTTAATAATTTCTAAGAGTTTTTTGTGACATCTTTAAAGGATTATTCATGCTTTAGGAAACTGTTTTTTAATCAGTTTCTAAGGTTCCAAAGTCCCAAAATGTTCCCCCCGTTCCACACATTCCAAGCGCCGCGTATCTTTTCGCTTAGGGGAACATTTTACACAGCGAATCAAAGTCATTCCACGCATGTTCCCCAGCGTTTACAGTGGATATAAAATACTTCAAACTCTGCATATCTCTTTCCAGTATATCTTTTTTAATAGTTTTCCCCGTCTGTCGGGTATCCCTATGCTATGCCTATGCCAATGCCACACGGGCTACATACTAGTACTACTTTTAACTTAATTGTCCTGATTAGCATGGGTCCCGTGTCTGTTAGCCTCGTTGAAATTTTTGTGCCTAGAACCAGTCGGTTCTCGAGTGGTGGGTTCCACGGGGATGCAGTTACAAAATAAGTGACTCTCCCTGGGAGAGGTGGGTGAAGGGAGGTGGGTTATGGGACAAAGTCCACTGTACAAATGTGCCTATTACCCTGCTGCATCTCATCCTTTCCCCCCCCCCCCTTCTATGGTTTATGCCATTAGCAACAGAAGCAGGGGCAGAGGCAGAGGCTGGAGAGAGTCGCAGTGGCTGGAGAGAGTTGGCGGGGTGGGGGAGTCCTTGCTGGGTCCACAACTGGAACAACAACAGCAACAACAACAAAGTTCGGTCAAACGTCAGAAATGCCTCGTTTTTAGCTATTGAACAGAGGCCAAAGCGCAACCCAAAACCGAACTGAACCACCCCACTGTACCACCCAATCCTCCCTTCCTCCTCACCCCGCATAGCCTAGGCCTTTCTCGGCAAATGCAAATGTGCAAAATGCGCTATGACGTGGATGCAGCAGGCAGAAGGCAGCAGGCAGCATGCGGGGGCACAGAGCGGGACCTGGTTCTGCTTTCGACTGAATCTCTCTGTATGTGCCCCACAGACTCCACCCGGACAGGACACGTGGACGTGAAACGTGGAGGACAGTTGGTCCCAAAAACGCATTTCAAATCGAAAACTGGAACTTCAGTCATTTGGCGGCTGAGAGGGGGGTAGTGCGCGGGCAGGTAGAAGTCGAGTGGAATCTCTAACTAGAGAGAATCTCTATATGAGGCTGGATTTTAGAGGGTAGGCCCCCATTAGTTGGGTTTAACAAATGTCTAGAGCATTGGAAAAATATATTTTATGGCATTTATAATTACAAAAAAAATAAATTCGGTATTAATTAATTTCTGGGAATATTAAAAATATTTATTCATTATCTGAGAAAATTATAATCAAACTTTTTTTTGTATATCAAACCATATTTTCCGTACATTTATCCTTCCCAAAAGATATCCAACAAAGGAATATAATCGAGGAAAATATGGATTTTAGTTTAGGGAACTTCCAAGTCAAAGAAATTTGTTTTCCCAGCGATTTATTAATGTTTTTGAGAGCCTTAGAAATAATAATAATAAATAAGGCTTATTTCTGCCTTAATATATAAAACCAACTCTCTTTTCTTCTCTTTCAAATTTTTTCCATTACGCTTAACTTCTTTTACAGGGTATTCCCACCGTCGCATCTTTGATTTTGCAAAGCAATTTTATGTTTTTCTTTTGCCGAGCGCCGCTTTGGTGGATGGAAAATTGACAAAATGCAACGTTTTTGGTGTTCATTACGCTTCGACGACAGAGAGGCTCAGGACGCAGGACGCAGGACCTCCTCCTCCTCATCTAATGGTCTTGCAATTTCCCTGGCAACTCCCGAAGCCAATTGGGATTTTTCCATATCGGAATATTCAATTTTTTTCCCGTCTGTTTGTCTGTTTTGGTGGTGGCTGATTCCCGTTTGGGACACTGCATATTGCCAAGGGGAGGTGGTGTGGGGTTTTTAGCCGTTGGGCTGGTGAGGCGTGTATCGGTTCGAGGGTGGTGCTGGTGGTGCATTTTCCAGTTCTTGTATCCCATTCAGGAATTGCAGAGGGTTGTATCCTCGTATCCCCGTATCACACGTTACGTCAAAAGGTCAGCAGCAGCAGCGGAGGCCTTTTCCATGGGGTGGAAAAAAAGACACAAAAATGTTTTCCAATTTTATGATTTAGGGATTTTGAAACCTTTGTAAAAACTTGACTTTGTAGGGGTTTTACGTTGAGATTTGAGGAGTCAAAATATGGATTTATGGTGTAAAAGTAGAATATAATTGGAAGAAGATTTTTAAAGGACAATAAAATATAATGAAAGGCAAGGGTAGCTTCATTCCAGTTTTATTATCCGATTGGATTTCGACTTAAAAATGTCTCCGTACCCGTCTAGATGAAGCATTAAAAATATTTTCTTCTCAGGAAAAGGAGGAATATTGACTCTTTCTTCTGAAGAGCATTGCAGAATGTTAGTGGGCTCATATTCATGTATACAATGGACTATAAAAGTATTTCGTCTAGCTCCCAAGTTTAGTTTTTCATGGGATCACTGCTTCAGGGGTGCCATAATTAAATTAAATGATTCTTAAAATCAGTTCTTCCCCATCCTAATTCCACATTCTTCTAATTTTCAAACTTTATTCTTATTGGTCCCATTTCTGACCATTTCTTGAGTATTTTACAGTGGAAAATTTGGGAGTTATTCAGTCCTAAGCTAATAAATTAGCTAGATAAATTATTAGAATAAATTTCTCTTTATTGTTGTTTTGTTTTGTTTTCTACGATACAAATTTTGTTTGAAAACTATTTTTCTCTAGTTGGTTATAGAAAACTCCAAAAACGCATAACATCAACGAATTTTCCGCAATCAAATAAACATTTTCTTAAATTTATTCAAAAGTTTCTTAGAATAAAGAGTTTTTCCCACTCTTTAAATCCCATCAAATTTCCCACACAACTTTATGCAACTGTGAGTCCCACTGTACGCGTACGACACGTTTTCCACTGTAATTTACTGACCTGCACCATTTTGCTGCTGCGTTTCCTTTAATTATTATCCAGAAATCCACAAACTGTAAATCAAATCGCCTGAGCCGGCAAAACAGTCAATGGAACGACCGAGAGAGCGAGCGAACGAATAGCGAGGCAAAACAAAAAACGCAAAAGCAAAGTTACAACAACAACACACACAACTTAAAGATTGAGCAAAGAGCGCGCGCGATATTTAGAAAGAGAGAGAAAGAGCGAGAACGGGCAGCACGTGCTAATTTCACTTTTGTTTTATTAAAATTTCCCTTTATTCGTATTCTTTTTATTATTATTCAATACCAACACACACGCGGCGCACACACACACATTGCAGTTTGCTGGCGAAAGAGCGGGAGAAATGTAGGAACAAGCACGCGGCGGCCGAGAATTTTTGTTGCGTTTTCAATTTAATTCTTGTAGTTGCTTCTGTTTTGTGTGTGCTTGCTGTTGCTTGTTGTAGCGCGAATTCATTGCATTTTGATTTTTGTTCGTTGGCTGCACTTTTCACGCGATGTCCACGTTTTCCGGGCTGGATTTTCCGTGCAATTTACCGTACGAACCGAACGTGTTCTGTTGTGGGTGGAAATTGCGGTAAAAAATTCTGCTGCGAACCAACAACAAACACGCACTCCAGTGTGACTGTGGCATTATCGAAAAAATATACCGTCTGACCCTCAGAAATATACTGAAATATACCATCTCATATTTTAAATATACCGTAAATATACCGAAGAAAAAGAGGACTTAGCCCACCTAACGCCCCTTTATTTAAACAGAGAGAAAATTCAATTAAGCCACGGAAAATAGTACTGTTTGTTCATTCTTCTTGTAGATATATCCTTCCTCTTTACTACCAATAAAATATGACCACAATATCTTTAACCTGAAATACGTAAAAATGTTTCCAGTTTTATAATATTCGTGCGTAAATGGAAATACCCACTGGTCAATATAGGGTTAGTGGGTCTCTGTCCATTATCGGAAATTATATATTTCGATTTTGATCTTCGGTTTGCTTGAACTACCTAGCTGGGACTCTCAGTACGTCACGTATAATTTTATCAGATAGATACATCAATTTTCTACAAGATTGGCTAATTTTCAGAAGTCCTTTTTATTGCATTGTTTACATAAAAAGGTTCAAACTAAAACGGCCAAAGCATAAAAAGTAAATGGTGACTAATTGTGACGTCATTGTTGCTTGTCAACCAGGATTCAGTTATGCGTATGGACTTTAGTATACCTTATTTCCTTAAATTGATGTTAAATTTGTTGTTCCAAGCTGCTTTGAAACATTAATATTACATTTTTCATGGATTGACATGTTTTTTACCTATTAATGCATTTGTTTTGTGTTTTATAAATACTTTTAACCTGGTTCTGATAAATATTATTGGTACCCGTGAGCTGCAAAATTTCGTTAATATCTTTAAAACAGAGACTGAGTAGTTTCTGTATTAATGGGAGCCTGAAATTACAAACATTATCTCAAGTCCTGAATATCCATTTTCCCAAGGTATTCAGATTTGTTGCTCATTCCGTGCCAAAGTTGCACAACAGTGCTGCCTATTCATTTGCCCATGTTGCTGACAAATCAAATGTTCCTAACGGGAACGCGCATGGAACGTCGCAACAATGAATCTACATTCAAAATAAGCCCGCAATTTAAAATAATTAACAGGATTTGGAGGATTTACTATTTTGTGACGCCTTTTTTCCAGGTAAAATCGTGGTAATGCAACGGGTTTTTTATTTGGTTTTGGAAATTCCTAATTGTAAGTAAAATTGTAAATTTGTGCCAATATTTGTATGGCATCCAACGGCCAAAAGTCAACCAAAATTATATATACCATTTTAAGGGTTTTTATGAGAGGTTCGGGTTTCTTGTGGAATCTCAAAAAAATAGTCGGATTCTACCTAAATTTTTTCGTATAAATAGTGGACTAAAATAGTTCAGTAAATCAGTTGAAGACAACAGGACAACAAGAGGGCAAACATGGATATAAACACACTGAGGGCATTCTTTCTGAATATGCCCATATTCCAAGGCAGGGAGAGAAATGTGGCCCGGTCCCTGGATCATGTCAGACGGTCGTCCCAAGGACAGAATCTGGAGAAGGGAATCATCAATCGATACGGAGACCTGGAGAACTTCAAGCAGCCGTTCTAGTTCCCGAAAATGGCCAGAGAGGATCAGACGAGCACGTGGAAAGCACTGGCGATTGCTCTCTGCCGGATCGATGGTACTCACTACCGTACCATCCATCTGACTGTGGCCCCGCTGAGCGTCAAGCAGATTGGCAGTACTGAGATCCGGCACGCCCTAAAGAAGGTGCTGGCAATTCTGCAGAATGGCAATCTGGATCACTTCCTGATGGCCGTTGTCACCGATGGGCGCCTTGCCAACGAGGAGGCAATGATGTACGCCGAACAAAAAGGTTATCCTGTCCTATATGACATTGTTCGTTTGAGGTCGTTAAAATACCGCCATTGGGATGTCACCTTCACGGCATTATACAATCGGACGTATGCTGCTGATAATGATTGGGAACAGGAGTATCCAACGATTGAGGAGATCAACCGGCCGGAAAATGTGCGCGGCGTGCATATTCAGGAGCTGCAGCAGATCCAGGGTGAAGTGCGTCGCAAATTGGCCCTAGATGGGATGCCGTTCAGGAATCGGCGAATCCCTGAACGCCAATATGCAGCAATTATTCGTGATGATAAACGCATTCAGTCCAGAAATGATGACGGAATCGTTTCCAGCTATAACCGTCTTCACCTGGATGCTGGGCACTATAGTGAGCTTGACAGACCCCAGGGACTATTCCTGACTACGAATTTATTATTATTTATTTATTTTATTTATTTATTTATTATTTATTTTACTGTAACTATTTTTACTATTATTTTAAGCTACTAATTGCTTAAGAGTTACATGTATTTGATATACAATAATAAATATTATTTGTTTTTGTACCCAAAAAAATACTTTTCGATATTAAATCCGTGCGAGGAAGACCATAAGGAATTACCTGCATGTTTGGGCGATTTGATGAATGTTAAATTCGTTTCTCTTATATAAACATTCTGCTGGTACAATACGATTTCTTACTTCACGGATCCATTGGCCATGGATTAAACTGTGATATTTTCCATTAATTGGATCAGACTTCCTGGGGCAAACAGTCTACCATTCCACAGCTAACGCCTTAACCTAACCTATTCTGTACAAGAATAATAACTATGAACGTATATAAATGTTCAGTGCGTTTATTATTCAAAGGAAATGCGCAGATTAATTCGATCCACTTTGTGATTATTGCTCCATTGCCTTCTGGCCACATATGGACGCAACGCTCGCTCGGTGCCCTGAACTTGGTACCACATTCCCCTGGATTTGCGCATATCAACGACCGCTTCTACTTAGGCGATTGGGCTTGTAACGTAGCCACTTTTCGTGAGGCGAAATACCCGCCATCCCTCTTACTTGGCTTATCGACAAGATGGCGAGGCAGACCAACAGAACCAGCTTCATTTTCGAAAGATTTAATATCTGATAAATTCTCTACTCTTATATACCCTTTATACGATTTCATGCCTCACGGATCCATTGGCCATGGATTAAACTGTGATATTTTCCATTACTTGGACCAGACTTCCTGGGGCAAGCGGTCTATGACCCCCCCTACACTGATAGAAAAAAGGGATAGTAAAAATAACTACAATCATATTTGAATTTAAAATGCCATTTTTAAATACAAACATAGTAAAATTTAATAGAATTCACTTTGATTCAAATATAAATGTATTAAAAATGATTTTTTAATACGGTCATATTTAATCTAAATACAAAAGACTTCAAAATAACTATAACATATTAAATTTGTAGTTTAATATGTTTCATATTTAAATTGAATATTATTAAGACTTGATTTCAAAATTTTTCTTTTAAAATCCAAAGGAAAAACTTTTTATTTTAAATATTCCATATTAAATGAAATCAAATATTTTTTGTATTTATTTTAACTATGTTTATATTATTTTTTATGTCCCTCGAATTCCAGCTGCTGCCGTCTTGAATACACAGTTAAATTATCTTAACTTGAACTTGAGAACTTGAGAACTTGAAAACTTTAACCAATTCACACCATTAGGACTTGAAATGTAATTTTCCTACGCAAAATAATAACCAATTAGTTAAAAATGAATATAAATATAAATATGAAACATATTAGATTTAAATATTAAACATATTAAATTTAAATATGAAGCATATTAACATTAAATATGAAACATATTAAATTTGAATATAAAACATATTAAATTTAAATATGAAACATATTAAATATAAATATGAAAAATATGAAATTTAAATATGAAACATATTAAATTTAAATATGAAATATATTAAATTTAAATATTTCTATATTAATATCAAAATTTAAGTGAAAAATATTTAATTTTAATACAACCACTCTTGGATAAAAATCAATGGCATAAATATTAAAATCTAAGTGAAAATATTAAAATTTCAGGGCTTTTTTCTATCGGTGTACCATTCCACAGCTAACGCCTTAACCTTACCTATTCAGAATTCAAGAATAACAACTATGGACGTATATAAATGTTCAGTGCGTTTATTATTCAAAGGAAATGCGCAGATTAATTCGATCCACTTTGTGATTATTGCTCCATTGCCTTCTGGACACATATGGACGCAACGCTCGCTCGGTGCCCTGAACTTGGTCCCACGTTCCACGTTCGACCGCTTCTACTTAAGCGACTGGGTTTGTAACGTTGCAACATTTCGAGAGGCGAAAGAGTCGCCATCCCTCTCACTTGGCTTATCGACAGGATTGCGAGGCAGACCAACAGAACCAGTTACATATTCAAAATATTTAATATCTGATATATTCTCTACTCCTTACACCCTTTCATCTGTCATTATTTAATATCTGATAAATTCTCTACTCTTATACACCCTTTCAGCTGTCATTATTCGATTTCATACCTCACAGATCCATTGGCAATGGATTAAACTGTGATATATTCCATTTCTTACGGAAAACTTCCTCGCGAAGGAAAAAGTTTTGCATTATATTTCAGAAAAACAATAATTCTTTTATTTTCGGATACAAAGTACAGTCTCTCCCTCTGCCGACTATCAAGCAAGGTCGGGAAATGTATAAATATATTTTGTAGGCTTTAAGTCGACTTTGGGACCATTGTACCTTGGTAACCGTAGACTCGAAGCCGTAGGGGGCAATGTAGGCTCGCCCTAACCTAATCTAACCTTCCAAAAGAATAAATACTAAATGTCTACTTAATTTTTATTGTACGGGAGAAGTGCGCAAATTAATTTGAACACTTTTTGTGCCCATTGGAGTACGGCTCCATTTCCTTCAGGCCCTTGGAAGGCTACGCTCGCTCGGTGCCCTGCGGCACACTTTCCCCTGGATTTGCGCAGATTAACGCTTTGAATTGAACACCGATAGAAAAAAGCCCTGAAATTTTAATATTTTCACTTAGATTTTAATATTTATGCCATTGATTTTCATTCAAGAGTGGTTGTATTAAAATTAAATATTTTTCACTTAAATTTTGATATTAATATAGAAATATTTAAATTTAATATATTTCATATTTAAATTTAATATGTTTCATATTTAAATTTCATATTTTTCATATTTATATTTAATATGCTTCATATTTAAATTTAATATGTTTAATATTTAAATCTAATATGTTTCATATTTATATTTATATTCATTTTTAACTAATTGGTTATTATTTTGCGTACGCAAATTACATTTCAAGTCCTAATGGTGTGAATTGGTTAAAGTTTTCAAGTTCTCAAGTTCTCAAGTTCAAGATAAGATAATTTAACTGTGTATTCAAGACGGCAGCAGCTGGAATTCGAGGGACATAAAAAATAATATAAACATAGTTAAAATAAATACAAAAAATATTTGATTTCATTTAATATGGAATATTTAAAATAAAAAGTTTTTCCTTTGGATTTTAAAAGAAAAATTTTGAAATCAAGTCTTAATAATATTCAATTTAAATATGAAACATATTAAACTACAAATTTAATATGTTATAGTTATTTTGAAGTCTTTTGTATTTAGTTTAAATATGGCCGTATTAAAAAAGCATTTTTAATACATTTATATTTGAATCAAAGTGAATTCTATTAAATTTTACTATGTTTGTATTTAAAAATGGCATTTTAAATTCAAATATGATTGTAGTTATTTTTACTATCCCTTTATTATATCATTGATAATACTAAAAATACCCACTATAAGTGCTTGGCTTAGGGTCAGGTATGCGACGAGGACAAACAGTACCAGCTTCATGTTTGGGCGATTCTGATATCTGCTAAATTCTTTGCTCTTATATACCCTTTCAGCTGTTACAATACGATTTCATACCGCACGGATCATTGGCCGTGGATTAAACTGTGAAATTTCATATTTCAGACGGAAAAGACAATGAACTTTGGCATTAAGAACTGACTTCCTGGTTCCAGCGGTGTATGCCTCGGGTGACCAGCTCCTTTCCGCCTACTTTTGTCTGGACGTTGATGGGCAATGACTGCACCATCAAGTGGCCCATGCGACACCAAGCCGAAGCCTGTTACGCGCGGAACCCAGGCGCGGAACAAACGCAGCCTCTCCTTCCACCCAACTGACCGAGGGGCGCTGCCGCATGACGCGCGACGCGTGTTACCGAACCGATTGCGAGCATGCAGCAAAGATAGGTGTTAGACTAAATGTCGAGGAAAGTTAGAGCAAAACATGCAAAGATAGCTGAGAAATAGTACTAATTACGGGAAAGATATGTTTAAGATTTAAGAAGAGGAAGGGAATTAGTGGTGGATGTTATATGGTAGAGGGAATTGAAGTCCGAGCAAAGGACCCCAAATGGTTCGTGCAAAAAATAATTTGATCTGCACAGTGGAAGGAACAAAGGAATAAAGTTTCTAGTGGATCTAATTGGAATCGTAAACTTTATGCGGCTCAACAAGTCAGGGCTATCTACGTCACCCTTGATCAGATCACCCCAAGCATTTTAATACGACTAACTAAGGTTGGAAGGTTCATTAGAAGCAATCTACGAGGGCAAGATGGCAGTCTCACCCCTGCATCCCAGTTAAGGCCACGCCGAGCAAAAAGTAAAAGGTTTTACTGGACTGATTCCATACGGTCCTGGTGTTGTCTTTGAAGAGGCGTACAAAAAAAGTGTGTACTCGTGGATCCACTCGTGAACTTAAAGCATCTTATAGAACATTCAATATCTGAATTCACTTTTCTTATATACCCTTTCAGCTCTTATAGTACGATTTCATACCTCACGGATCCATTGGCTGTGGATTAAACTGTGACATATTCCATTTCTTACGTGGCGGGCTATGCCTCGGGTTACCTTCCCGCCATTCCGACATTTGCTTGCTACCACCTTAACTCAGCCCAACCCTCACAAGAACACAAATTCAACGCCTCAGGGCGTTTATTGTATGGGGGAAGTGCGCAGATTAATTCGATCCATTTTCTGATTATTGGAGTACGGCTCCTTTTTGCCTTCCACCCACAGGATGGCTACGCCGGTAGTCATCGTCATCCGAAGGACTTTCCCCTGGATTTGGGTAGATCAACGCTTGGCTCAGGGACAGGTATGCGACGAGGACCAACAGTACCAGCTTCATGTTTTGGGCGATTCTGATATCTGCTAAATTGTTTGCTCTTTAAGTTATTTTTTGTTCGTTCGTTCATGACGACCCAACCCTAATAGAGAATGATTAGCGGCTGCAGCGCTGACAGGGGGTTGGGTTGGCAACTGAAAACTGATCTGATCTGAAACTGAACTGATCTGATCAACTGATCTGATTCAGATTCGGCAATCTGGTAGATATTGTCATTCTCTACGATACTGTTTTCGTTTTCTCGTATCTTTACTATTTAATAAAATAAAAAATATTACAGTTGAATCATTTGCCAATGGGTCTGTGAAGTATGAAGTCGTTTTGTAACAGCTGAAAGGGTATACTATAAGGGCAAAGAATTCATCAGATATAAAAATCACCCAAACATGAAGCTGATATTGTTTCAAAAGAGCAAAGTCTTAAAAGACACTTTGGATCAAGGAGCGCTCATGGGCGAGCCAATGGAGCCTTGGAACTGACTGGGAAAGAAATGGATGATTAATGGTGCTTGCATCCAGTAAACGCCTGGACATTTAAGAGTGGCAGGTAGAAAAGGACGGTGATAGGGGAGAGGAGGCCTTCTATATTTTCACTTAAGTTTCCAGCTGTAATACAGATGCCATTGATTTTCAGGCAAGAGTGGTTGTATTAGAATTGAATATTTTTCACTTATATTTTGATAATATATTTCATATTTAAAGTTAATATGCTTCATATTTAAATTTAATATGTTTCATATTTAAATCTAATATGTATCAAATTTAATTTAAAAATATTGTATCCTTAAATTTAATATGTTTCATATTTATATTGAGTATATTTAATATTTAAACTAAATGGTTATTATTTTCCCTACGCGGACTACATTTCAAGTCCTCATGGTGTGAATTGGTTAAAGTTTTCAAGTTCTCACCCTGCGCTAAGATAATTTAACTGTGTATTCAAGGCGGCAGCAGCTGGAACCAGTTGGGAATTCGAGAGAAATAAAGAATAATATAAAAATAGTTAAAATAAATACAAAATATATTTAATTTAATATGGATTATTTAAATAAAAAGTTTTTCCTTTTGATTTTGATTTTACTGTAGTTTATTGTATGGCTAAATTTTCATTTTAATTCGACACCTAGAGGGCACGTTGTGAGTCGCTTCAGTTGCCGCGACTCTACCTTTATACTCGTTCTCAGTCAGTACACATATGTATAAGTACACTGTACATTGTACATCCATATATTGCATGCACATAAATATTTTATTTGCTTACATTTTTCCGCTACATCTGTGATCTCCTTCTGGTAGAGCCTCTAGAGCCCTTTTATTGCATGAAGGGCATGCTGGGAACTAGAGATTAAATTGGGCGCCACAGACGCCATCGTTCCATCGTCTTCAGAAGCAAAGAAATAGGAAGGAGTATGCGGAAAGGACGTCTATGCCTGGTCACCCGCTTGCACCAGGAAGTCTGTGCTTAATACCAAATTTCGTTGTCTTTTCCTTCTGAAATATGAAATTTCACAGTTTAATCCACGTCCAATGGATCTGTGAGGTATGATATCGTATAATGACAGCTGAAAGTGTATATAAGAGCAAAGAATTTAGCAGATATCAGAATCGCCCAAACATGAAGCTGGTACTGTTTGTCCTCGTCGCGTTCCTGTCGCTATGCAGTAGCGTCATGTCGCCTGAAGCCAATGCAGCCATGCGCCAATGGCCACCAAATGGATCGAACTAATCTGCGCACTTCCCCCATCCAATAAACGGTAACTGGGGGCGAGAGACGTTACCTGTTACCAAGGCACAATTATCCCAAAGTCGATTATTTTTTGGCATAAAGTCTAAAAATAATAATAATAATATTAGGATTAATATTAAATTGACTCCTTCCGCTTCCCCTTACCTTGCTTGATTGTCGACATCCTAGAGACTGTAGTATTTATGCAAAAATAAGAGAGAAGGAACGTGTGAGTCGATTCTTTGGCATGCGACTCTACTTTTGTACCCGTACTAAGTCAGTATATAAATTTGTGAGCTTATCATTTATGTAGAATTTTTAAATGATTTACATTTTAATACTACATCTGTTATATACATCTACATTTACAATGTATATTTTACATATCACACTCTTACCTCTTACCAATATACCCCTCTCTTTTTAACTATTTTTGCGTACGGGCTTAAAAATCCTGGTGTTCTTAAAGATTTTTCAATTATCTACCAAGTAGGCTTTTGGGCACGATCGATAAACTCCGACCAGAGATCCATGTAAAATATATTCATTCAATTTATTTTCAATTTTTAAGCTAATTAATTCCCTTTTTTAAAATAAAACAATAAAAACAATAAAATAATAATAATAAAATAATAAATAATAATAATATAAAATTTATATAATAGCAATTTGCGTGATTTTAGGATAGCATTTTTAGAAATTTCTTTTTTTACATAACTAATAAATATTTAAATTCTGCTGTTTTTGTATATTTTTCTCAATACAAAATTTATTTTCTTCGTCGGCGCTGCGATCTTTATTGCAGAACTCCACAAAGAAATCTGTCAAGCACGGGCAAAGGAGCCATATTAATTATACAACTGCATAAATAAATAAATCTGTTATCTAAATCCTACAACGGACTTCACCAAAGTTCTACTCTAGACAACAGAGCCACATTTGTAAGAAAAACGAGAAGGAACGTGTGAGTCGCTTCTGAGGACGCGACTCTACTTATTCCCGTTCTCAGTTAGTATATACATTTTTTAGCTTATGATTTTGTAGAATTCTAAAATTAAAAAAAAATTTAATTTTACATTTTACATTTTTTTGCTACATCTGTTATCTAAATCTACAATGTATATTTTACATCTAACAAGTAGATTATAGATGTACCATTAATATTCTACATCTCCTCCGCTAGGGGCTACTCGCGCACTGATCGCGGCAGAGTGTGCGAGCGAGACAGAGAATCAGTAGCGTGTTTCATGCAGGGGGAGACGGGGGAAGCAACTGAAAATGAATTTCTTCATTCTGGCTTTAATTATGATCCGATCTGATTCAGATTCGGCGATCTGGTAGATATTGTCATTCTCTACGATACTGCGTTTTTCGTTTTCTCGTATCTTTACTATTTAATAAAAAAAAATATTACAGTTGAATTAATGGGTCTGTGAAGTATGAAGTCGTTTTGTAACAGCTGAAAGGGTATACTATAAGGGCAAAAAATTCATCAGATATAAAAATCACCCAAACATGAAGCTGATATTGTTTCAAAAGAGCAAAGTCTTAAAAGACACACAGGACACCCAGCGAGCGTAGCCTTCATGTGGCCTGAAGGCAATGGAGCCTTGGAACGGTAATCCAATGGGAACGAAATGGATCGAATTAGTCTGCGCACTTTCTCCCCCATCCAATAAACGCACTGAGACATTTAACTTTTATTTTTGTGGCAGGTTAGATTAGGTTAATGCGGTAGCTGGGTGATAGTGGGAGAGGAGGCCTTCTTTACTCTATCCTCTATGCTCAGTTTCCAGCTTTGGATCAAGAATCAGACCAAGATAAGGCTTATCCTACGGCAAGAGTGGTTGTATTAAAATTGAATATTTTTCACTTACATTTTGATAATATATTTCATATTTAAAGTTATTATGCTTCATATTTAAATTTAATATGTTTAATATTTAAATCTAATATGTATCAAATTTAATTTAAAAATATTGTATCCTTAAATTTAATATGTTTCATATTTATATTGAGTATATTTAATATTTAAGCTAAATGGTTATTATTTTCCCTACGCGGACTACATTTCAAGTCCTCATGGTGTGAATTGGTTAAAGTTTTCAAGTTCTCACCTGCGCTAAGATAATTTAACTGTGTATTCAGGGCGGCAGCAGCTGGAACCCGTTGGGGAATTAGAGAAATAAAGAATAATATAAAAATAGTTAAAATAAATACAAAATATATTTAATGTCATTTAATATGGATTATTTAAATAAAAAGTTTTTCCTTTTGATTTTGATTTTACTGTAGTTTATTGTATGGCTAAATAAATTTTAATTCGACATAGCGACACTAGAGGGCACGTTGTGAGTCGCTTCAGTTGCCGCGACTCTACCTTTATACTCGTTCTCAGTCAGTACACATATGTATAAGTACACTGTACATTGTACATCCATATATTGCATGCATACAAATATTTTATCTGCTTACATTTTTGCGCTAAATCTGTGATCTCCTCCTGGTAGAGCCTCTAGAGCCCTTTTATTGCATGAAGGGCATGCTGGGAACTAGAGATTAAATTGGGCGCCACAGACGCCATCGTTCCATCGTCTTCAGAAGCAAAGAAATAGGAAGGAGTATGCGGAAAGGACGTCTATGCCTGGTCACCCGCTTGCACCAGGAAGTCTGTGCTTAATACCAAAGTTCATTATCTTTTCCGTCTGAAATATGAAATGTCACAGTTTAATCCACGTCCAATGGATCTGTGAGGTATGATATCGTATAATGACAGCTGAAAGGGTATATAAGAGCAAAGAATTTAGCAGATATCAGAATCGCCCAAACATGAAGCTGGTACTGTTGGTCCTCGTCGCATACCTGTCCCTGAGCCAAGCGTTGATCTACCCAAATCCAGGGGAAAGTCCTTCGGATGACGATGACTACCGGCGTAGCCATCCTGTGGGTGGAAGGCAAGAAGGAGCCGTACTCCAATAATCAGAAAATGGATCGAATTAATCTGCGCACTTCCCCCATACAATAAACGCCCTGAGGCGTTGAATTTGTGTTCTTGTGAGGGTTGGGCTGAGTTAAGGTGGTAGCAAGCAAATGTCGGAATGGCGGGAAGGTAACCCGAGGCATAGCTCGCCACGTAAGAAATGGAATATGTCACAGTTTAATCCATAGCCAATGGATCCGTAAGGTATGAAATCTTACTATAAGAGCTGAAAGGGTATAAGGGTAGAGAATTTATCGGATATTGAATTTTCTATAAGATGCTTTAAGTTCACGAGTGGATCCACGAGCGGACACTTTTTTGTACGCCTCTTCAAAGACAACACCAGGACCGTATGGAATCAGTCCAGTAAAACCTTTTACTTTTTGCTCGGCGTGGCCTTAACTGGGATGCAGGGGTGAGACTGCCATCTTGCCCTCGTAGATTGCTTCTAATGAACCTTCCAACCTTAGTTAGTCGTATTAAAATGCTTGGGGTGATCTGACCAAGGGTGACGTAGATAGCCCTGACTTTTTAAGCCGTTTACGATTCCTATTAGATCCACTAGAAACTTTATTCCTTTGTTCCTTCCACTGTGCAGATCAAATTATTCCCTGCACGAACCATTTGGGGTCCTATGCTTGGACTTCAATTCCCTCTACCATATAACATCCACCACTAATTCCCTTCCTCTTCTTAAATCTTAAACATATCTTTCCCGTAATTAGTACTATTTCTCAGCTATCTTTGCATGTTTTGCTCTAACTTTCCTCGACATTTAGTCTAACACCTATCTTTGCTGCATGCTCGCAATCGGTTCGGTAACACGCGTCGCGCGTCATGCGGCAGCGCCCCTCGGTCAGTTGGGTGGAAGGAGGGGCTGTGTTTGTGCCTGGGTTCCGCGCGTAACAGGCTTCGGCTTGGTGTCGCATGGGCCACTTGATGGTGCAGTCATTGCTTATCAACGTCCAGACAAAAGTGGGCTGAAAGGAGCTGGTCACCCGAGGCATACACCGCTGGAACCAGGAAGTCAGTTCTTAATACCAAAGTTCATTGTCTTTTCCGTATGAAATATGAAATTTCACAGTTTAATCCACGGCCAATGATCCGTGCGGTATGAAATCGTATTGTAACAGCTGAAGGGGTATATAAGAGCAAAGAATTTAGCAGATATCAGAATCGCCCAAACATGAAGCTGGTACTGTTTGTCCTCGTCGCATACCTGTCCCTAAGCAACGCCATAATGAATTACCCAAATCCAGGGATACCGTCGGATTACGATGATGATATTATTTGATTTGTGGTGCAAAAACCACTGGGGGAGTCCCACCAAACGACATATTTTTGTCTCGCGACTAGCCCCTGGCCAGACATCAAATGCTGTGCAAATTAATAAAATAAAATACAAATAAAATTAATATTGGTATTAAAATCAAATAAAAGTAATTTTAAATGAATTTCGAAACAATTTTTCAATAAAATTAACAATTATTGAATACATATTTTTCTCGTCCAATCTTTTAAAAACCAACAGTAAATTGAATTCAAATAAAACCGCACATACATCGATAGGTAAAATAGGTAAACATCGATAAATAAAAAACACAAGAAGAAGAGTGCGATGACATCGATGCCACCAGTCGATGTTTCGCGTTAGCCATTAACAAAACTTGCATTTAAATGCCATTCGAAAGCATGCCCCAGCTCTTATCGAATACTAATTCGCGAGCAGCTTCACATTCCTCATCATTTATTCTTACTTTCAGTATTCCTTTAGTATATTTAGTATTAATTTTCAACTATCGAGACCCGCAGCACATCGCTAGCCCTGATGAAATTCACTCCCTGCGCATCACTAAGACTTTCTGTGCTGAATAGAGCTGTCAAACGATTCATAGTTGAGCCTTCGATAGCTTTGAATGTTTTGAAAAAAACAATCGATACTATCATGATAGTATCGGGCTAAAAAAATTATTAATTATTAATTTTTTTTGTTGTTATTTACTGGTTACTGGTTCTCGGTTTCTGAGGTTTCTGAGGTCACTCGAAAAAACAAATCAAGTGAAATAAATATTAAGACACATTTCAAATTGACCGCCAAATTCAATTTAGCGCACCAAAAATACTGACATTTTTCGCTTTCAATTCGTGGAGAGTTTGCTAAATTTGCTCTCAATTCGTGGAGCACATTTAGTCAACATTTAAGTTTTATGCTTTGGCTGGTTTTGTTTGAACCTTAATTTGTAAACAATCCAATGAAAAAGAGTTCTAAAAACTAACCAATCCTGAAGGAAATTTATGTATCTATCGGATAAAATTATTTATTTACGGCTGAGAGGCCAACTATCTAGTAATATTAAACTGAATATCAAAATTGACGAATTTCATATCACAAAATATCACGGTACGGCAGCCCGCAGCAGCTACGAATTGCACGAGTCTGGCAGCGCCACAAAACGACGACAAATTCGTTTTATGCTGTTTTTGTTTGAACCTTAATATGTAAATAATCTAATAAAAAGGACTTCTGAAAACTTGCCAATCTCTTAAAAAATGTATGTATCTATCGGATAAAATTATTTGTTTAGGGCTGAGAGTCCCAGCTAGCTGGTAATATCAAACGGAATATCAATATCGAGGAATATAAACGTCGAATGTTTTGAAAAAACAATCGATACTATCGTGATAGCTCTAATAATTATTAAAAAACCATTGAAACCTTTTAGGAACTTGTCCATTGTAAAAATTAGATGCCACCTGTCGATTTGTTTACAAATTTGTCTTCGTATTTTATAGCAGCCAATCCAAACATATCAAAAGCGCAACGACTGTAGCTCGATAATATCATGATAGTCGCAAAACCGTCGATAGTAGAGACTATCAGTAAAATATCGATACTATCGACAGTGCCCTCGATGGTTTGACACCTCTAGTGCTGAATATTTGTTTACTTTTTTTTGCAATCGAATTTAAAGCTAATTTAAGCGATTAAGCAATGTCGGACAACGAGTACGAGCGCTTTGAGATCACCGACTACGATCTGGACAATGAGTTCAACACGAACAGACCGCGCGGGCGGCACAGCAAGCATCAGCAGATCTACGGTAAAGATATTCTTTCTTTTGGTGTCCCAACAAAAATCCTCAAGAAAAAACCTCTTTCCAGGCATTTGGGCGGACGACAGCGACGAGGAGAGCCCCGGCGATGGTGGCGGCCAGAAGCGTCATGGCCGCCAGGCAAAGGACTACACAATGCCCGTGAATTTTGTGGCCGGCGGCATTCAGCAGGCGGGCAAAAAAAAGAAAAAGCCGCTAAAGGGCGAAGAGAAAGCCGGCAAAGAGGAGGCAGGCGACGCTGAAGATGCCGAAAAGAGCGACGACTCGGCGGAGGACAATGGGCGTCCAGCCTTTGGCCAGAGTGATCCCAGTTCGAACAGCTCCGAGGAGGAGGTGGAGCGACCCGCAATGAGAGGCAGCCAAGCGAAGCCCACGTTGTTCAAGCATCAATCGCACATCGCTGGCACTCGGAATGTGGGCGCCTGGGAGCAGCACACGCGCGGCATTGGCGCCAAACTGCTGCTGCAGATGGGCTACGAGCCGGGCAAGGGTCTGGGCAAGGATCTGCAGGGCATATCGCAGCCGGTGCAAGCGCACGTACGCAAGGGACGCGGCGCCATTGGCGCCTATGGCCCCGAGACCGCCGCAAGCATTGGCGGCAAGGCGCAGGCCATCAAAGTGGACGAGGATGTGCGCGAGGCCAAGGAGTTCAAGGAGCAGATGAACAAGTGGCGCAAGGGCGGCGTGGCAGAGCCCCAGGAGAAGGCCGCCGGCAAGCGCTACTACTACAAATCCGTCGAGGAGGTGATAGCCAAGGGCAAGAAATCCACGCATCTGCTCTCCGAGAAGCTGAGCAAGCAATTGGGCAATGTGCCCGTGATCGATATGACGGGGCCGGAGAAGCGCGTCCTCAGTGGCTACCATGCCCTCGCCCAAACCAAAATCACACCCGAGGAGACGCTCTACGACGCGGAGGCGGGTGGCGCAGCCGTTCCGGTCTTTGCCCTGCCCGAACTGACGCACAATCTGCAGCTGCTGGTTAGCCAGTGCGAGCAGCAGATCATTGCCATTGACAAATCGGAGCGCGAGTCCGAGAGCCAGCAGGCGGCGCTCCAGTGTGAGTACAAGAAGCTCGAGGAGATTGTCCAGCTGGAGCGGAACCACATCAGCACGCTCGAGGAGGTGCTCGATCGTGTGGAGCGGCTGAGTGAGGATCCCGAAATTACACTGCATGCCGCGGAGAAGCTGTTCCTGCAGCTGCTGGATGACTTTGCCGCCGAGTTCAAGGAATTTGGGCTGGCAGATCTGGCGGCGGGCGTTATTGCGCCGCTGGTGAAGCGAGAGCTGGTGGCCTGGCAGCCCCTGGAGGAGCCCACACAGCCGCTGCAGCTGATCAAGAAGTGGCGCGGAATGCTGCAACGCGAGGAGCCCGCTGGCCAGCAGCCACGCAATGTCTTTGATCCATATTCCTCGCTGATTTGGGCGGGCGTGATGCCCTCGTTCCGTGCCTGCGCTGCCGTCTGGCAGCCCAAGGAGCATCCGCCGATGGCCGCGCTGCTGGACGCCTGGGCGCCGCTGCTGCCCACATGGGTGCTGGACTCTGTGCTCGAGCAGCTGGTGCTGCCGCGTCTCGTCACGGGCGTCTACGAATGGGATCCGCTCACCGACACGGTGCCCATACACAGTTGGGTGCTGCCCTGGCACGGCATTCTGGGCAGCAAGCTGGAGGAGTCTGTGTACCCGCAGATACGCAGCAAATTGGGCGTGGCCCTGCAGGCGTGGTCGCCGCAAGATCGCTCCGCGAGGGCCATGCTAACGCCATGGGCCAAAGCCTTTCCGGAGGAGGAAATGGTGGACTTTCTGCAGCACCACATCACGCCCAAGCTGCAGGGCGTACTCTCGGAGTTCATCATCAATCCGCTGCACCAGGACCTGGAGCAATGGAACCAGGTGTGGGAGTGGCACGAGCTCATACCGCCCATGCACATGGCCAAGCTGCTGGACAAGCATTTCTTTCCGCGCTGGATGCAGGTGCTGGTCATGTGGCTGAACCAATCGCCGGACTATGCGGAAATCTCGCGCTGGTACACGGGCTGGAAGGGCATGCTGAATGAGCCACTGCTGCGGGAGCCGAGCGTCAAGGAGCATCTGCGGCGTGCGCTCGACATGATGCATCGGGCGAGCGATGCCCTGCTGCAGCCGACAGCAGCGCCACCGCCACCCACACCGCCTGCACCGCCCTCGGTGGCGGGTCTGTTGCCGCCACTCATGATGATGGATGTGGCGCCGCCCACGCAGCTGGAGTTCAAGGAGTTGGTCTCGCAGAAATGTGCCGAACTGGGCATCATTTTTGCCCCACTGCCAGGCCGCAGGGAAATGGGCAAGCAGGTGAGTCTGAGGGCGCCGCTTGGAAGTTCCAGCTTTTCCCTAGCTAATCTTTTGCTTTTCATTGTAGATCTATCGCGTGGGCAAACTCTTTTGCTACATCGATCGTAATGTGTGCATGCTGAGCGATAGCTCATTCAGCAATTGGCAGCCGGTGGCCCTCAATCATCTGCTGGAGCGCACACAGGCGGGTTTATTCTAGCGACGAGCGGGAGCGAGAGCGGGAGGAGGAGGCTACAATCGTGCGAACACCAGAGATCGTTGGATGCTGGATGATGGCAGCTGCCACAGCAATGGTTGGAGTTCTGCATACAGCAAAGATAATGGCAAATAAAAGCGAAAGGAAAAGTGGAAATGGCAGTGATTATAATTGAAGATCTGGAGCACATAATGGTGCAGGATTCTTGGAGCATGTTGTGGCTGTTCTTACAGGCTATTCCATGGCCACTTTGCTGGAACTTCTCTGTGTGCTTCGAGCTGTTATTTGGGTTAAGAAAACACACTCCACAGACACACAACACCCTGTGGAAAATGCTGTATGTTAGGAGATGCTCAAAGTATGTGCAGCTTGACTATATTCCTAGCTATAAACTAGTCTTAGACCCCTTATAAGACGCTCCTTAAGGCAACATTTGACAAAGTGACAAGGAAATTGCAAATTAGCTTTACAAATTCCCAATATTAATGTTGATAACAGATACAAACGAAATAAACTAAACCCAATTAAACGCGTTAAACGTAAATGCTGTGTGCGAGCGTATTGGCAGAGTCATTTAATATTTATTGGTAGCCTGCACGTGTGCCATGAGCCATAAAATAAACCCAAGAAAACACATGAAAGAGCTCCTATTCAAGAAAGAAAATGTAAACTTATCATTTGCATTATCCAACAGATTTATTCTTAGCCGTTATCTATTGATTGGCGCCAATTAATTGCTGCTGATAAAAGCAACTAAAACATACAAATTAATACAGAAACAAGCAGCGCGTTCAGCTTTGCTACATGTCTGCCAGCTTGGTCTTTAGCCAACGATTAGAAGGAACAATCGTATAGCCCAGATAGCTGATAATTTTGCTGCCCATAGCTTTAGGTTTCCTTCTTTCGTGTTCAGTTTCATTTCGTAGCTGCACATCAAAGGTGGGTCGTGGTGTTGTCTCGGTTTCTCGATCGTTTATGGACCATATGGGCCCTTGATTTTCAACACAATCTACATAGTGATATGCACGTTGAGTCATCAATTGATTTATCTTTCTGGTTATTCCAAAATAATTAAAATACAAGTGTTTGACAAGTATAACTACGCCTTGGCCTATGTTTTGTGCGATGATTTCTAAAAAAAAAAGAAGAGATAAGACTCAAGTGCAAGCTGTCGTAGGGAATACAATTTATAGGTGTTTAAGTGATATTTATTTATATTTGGGCTGCCTTGGGACTCGGTGAATTGTGTCTTCAAGTAAAATAAATATGAACATAATGTGCATCATTTATTATCCAAAACAATAAATCAAAAAGTGTGTCAAAATCTAGCAAACAGTTTAAGTATTTATTGGACCTTTTAGGCGTCATTGATACGCTTCCTAAGAATTCATAAAAACGTATCAAACACTAGCAATTAAATGCAGTAGAAATACAATTTTTGATTGCTTTATCAACACAGAAGTCAGTCCAAGTTATTCAGTTCAGGAAATGACACTTTAAACTCATTCGTTCGATTGTGGCCAATACTCAGAAGGCAGACGGGAGTTATATGATATTTTTTGTACGGAAACTTGAGACTGTAAAGATATCAATTAAAGGAAATTGCAGAACAGGCATTAGAAGGGCAGGAAAAGTGGGATTAAAAATACAAAGATCAATGGAATTATTTATATATTTATATACTAATTAAATCAGTAATCAATAGTGCAAAGGAATTATTTATATATTTATATACTTATAGAATATCAGTAATCAGTGCAAAGAAATATCCCATATTGTCTAACTCTTTTTCAAGTTTGTGTCGTGTAAGCAGGCCACTCGATAGCACTTATAATTTTCTAATTTATATATGAAATTTATTAACGTATTACTGTTGCCATGATGCTGGTAAGTCCATGATATTAAGACTTCCAGCAGTTAAAGTAGGCCATGGAATGCCATTCTGCAGCAGATCTACATAGGAGTATATAAAAGGAAACTTTTCAAAGTCAGACAGAGAATTTTTAATAGAGCATCAGAGTTTACTGTATCAATGGATCGGTATATCGAAAGGATCGGTACATAGAATCCATATAAATTTGCATATTGTATGCAATAAATATTCGCGGGAAACCCCTTTGAGACACTTTTTATTTATTTTTCGATTTATTTATTATTTATCAACTCTTGCAGGCCATAAATATTATAGCTGTACAAATAAATGAAATTTGTAGAGATTGTTTTGAGATTTGCATAATTAAATAGCTAATTAATTCATCGAATGTCAGGCATATAGAGTTGATAGGAAAGCTCTCAGCTATTTTAGCTACTATTTTTGTTCTAATTATTCTAAAGTGTTGTATAGAAAAATGTATGTTTTAATTTAATTATTTTATATATTTTATAATATTTTTTTTATATAATTTATATTTTATTAAAATAAAATTATATTTTATTTTATTATATTTTAAAATTGTCAAATACTTTAATTTGAACCACAATTTCAATTATTTGAAGTTTACTAATTGAACTTTATTTTGAATGAAATCAAGTTTTTTTATAAGTATTTTTAGAAGATTTATAACATTTTTGATTAAATATTTGTGTATTATTTATTTGTTATATATTGTGTGTCAATTATTTAGTAATTTTTACAGATTTATAGCATACTTGTAAAGTTTTTTTTTACACAATATTTAAGATATTTTTGTAGCATTTTTAGAATTTTTCCTGAGTACATAGAATTTTTGGAGATGATTTATAGAGCAAGCATCAAAAGTCTGCTTCAAGACAGGTCATATCCAATCCAAAAAAAAAAAACGAAATAAACTATATATAGCTGCCATAAATAGAGTCGTTCTATCTATGAAAACGTGCACATATTATTTTCCCTTTTACGCCGTTTACTCTTTTCTTTTTTTTTGGTTGGGGTTTATTGAAAGGGAATGGGAGAGAGAACCCATAATAATTAGCACTATCGCAAGCATAATAATGGCACACGGCACATAAAGGCATAAAATTAGGCACCAAAAACCGGGCACGACCTTTGGGCTACAATTTCGTTTGGCCGCCACGTATTGGGAGTAGTTTTACCCCATCAAAGGGTTGTGGGGTAATGGGAGCCTCTGCCCTCTCAGTGGCCTTATCAAACGCGGAGTGTGTGCAAGTTTTTTTTTTGTTCTGTTTTTTATTCGATTTCTCAAATTTGTTTTATAGCTGCGGCTGCGGCTGAGGCCATAAATTAAGGAACATCCGAGTGCCACGCCGCAAAACTCAGACGGAAAGCGCAGCGCCATGGCCAAATGTAATCGCGTGTGGCCCATTCTAATTCTTCTCACGGTGTCCCGTAGTGCTCGTCTGGCGGAACTTACAACAGGCTCAGCATCTGAGTCAGCCACAGATATCCAGCAAAAGCGTATCCCATTTCACCCATAATGAAGTCAACGAATCTTTGTTCACCACCGAGGAATATCCCGAGGATTATCCACAAGTGGAAGAGCCACCCGTTCCGCCGCTAACACCACGCGGCCAGATACTTCAGCAATTATTGAAATGCCGCACACGCAATCTGACATTTGCGCGGCTGCAACATGGGGAATACTGGCTCTTGCAGAATCTGATTATTGGTCGCAAAAGTCGTTTGATACGCTGCACGGAAGCGATAACCTACACCACCAATGGGGACTATACGTTCTTCGATAATCTGGAAATGGTGGCAGAACGGTAAGTTGTTGAGGCACTTATCGCTAGAGCCACTGGAAATTACCGATACTCGCACATAATCTATGGGAATATCTGGCAAATTTATGGCTTACTGATAGCAAGTTATTTATATTTTTTATTATATTTGTTTTACATTATTTTGTGTGGGGAAAGTTAAGGCCTATGAAAGTGAAACTACTCAATTTTAATGCTAGCATTATGCAGAATAATAAATAATAATCTTATCTGACAGCTACTCAAAAATCATTGCAATCGGGTTGATATTAAAGACAAACTGAAGCAAAAACCAGCCACTTGTGCCGCGAAAAAAATGTGTTAAACGTTCACAAAATCCATCTAAAAATAGGTCAAAAAATTCCTCATAAATTGCTTTGACTTATAACTAAAATCCACTCCTTCTTTTCTCTCCCACAGTTGGCGCGCACCCATTAGCTTTGCCATCCATGCACCTGGCTATGATCTAAACACAACGCTGGACTCGATACAATATGTGAAAAATTGTCTGCCTGGCAGCGAGTACATCAACGACTATGTGACCTTTCATGTGTATTTCTCCAATTTGCATATGCCCCAATATGTGCCACACGATGCGGAAGAAGTGCTGCAGCGGCCATATATTTGTCAGCTAAAAAATGGTAACACAGCACCGCCGCCCTGGACTTTGAGACCACGCAGCGTCATGTACAAGGTGGCTGCAAATCTGACATATCCGATCAATGTCGGCCGGAATATAGCACGACAGGCGGCCAACACGTACTTTATTTTTGCCTGCGACATCGAACTGTATCCGAGCGTGGGATTTGTGGAGCAGTTTCTCGATATGGTGGCCGGCAATCATAGCATTTTGGCACTGGATCCGGGACAGCCACGTAGGGTTTATCCTTTGCCCGTCTTTGAGCTAAACTCGGGTGTACCCATACCCAATAACAAGACGGAGCTGCTGGCCCTCTATCGTGATGAGATGGCTCAAACGTTCCACAAGCGGATGTGTGCCTCCTGTCACACGGTGCCTGGGCAGGAGGAGTGGCTGAAGCGTGCACCCAGTTTCACGGATGAGCTCCACGTGTGGAGCGAAACATTGCGGGAGCAGGAGTTTAAGCATTGGGAGCCCTTCTATGTGAGCGACAATAAGGAGCCAATGTTTGACGAGCGTGTGACGTGGGAGGGGCAGTCCAACAAGCGGATACAGGTAATTATCGATAAATAATCGGAAATTAATTAAATAGATATGGATAAATGGTTGATAAATAATCTATAATTTATTGATAGTAGTTCGATAATTAATGAAAATTATATCGATAAATAATCGAAGGTGTATCGATAAGGGATCCATAATTTTTATAAGCAATCGAACACCATTTTAAAATAATCGATTTATTATCGATTAATAAAAAATAAATAATTAATGAACATTTATCGATAAATAATCTAACGAGAATTGGTTAGGAATCCATAATTGATTGATAGGTAATCGAAACTGCTATATTAAATATTTCTTTCCCTCTCTCTCTCTTTCAGAACTATGCCATGTGCCTCTTGGGCTATGAATATCACGTCCTGCATCCCGCCTTCCTCGTCCATAGTCCTGGCATCAAGAAGAAAAATAGCTGGAAATCATCGCGCACGATATTTGCCAAAGAAATGACACGATTCATTAAACATAAAATCGAGCCAGAGTACCGAGTGTTGTATGGCAGACGAATGACCTGCACAACGTGACATGGAAACTAAAACTAAAACAGAATTAAGTTACAGAAAGTGATATTCTCCATTTATTTGCTAAGTGTTTTATAGTGCAATTTTGTCATAAGTTCATTTGTTATTTACAATTAAAATGTACAAATTGTAGGCTTTAAGCGAATCGTTGTTGGAATATCTGAAAATAGCGCGAAGTGCGCGAACGCGTGTACCAGTTCTGGGCAAAATCCTTTGGCACTAAACTGTAATTAAAAAGATACTTTAAGTAGGGTTTAGGGGGCTTGCCATGTCCACACACCTTATCATTTTACTGTAGAACAAATGCCAGATATGCCACGAACGCGAGCTTCTGGTTTGGCTAACATTTACATGAGCCTTGGGCTGGCAGTTCTGCCAGCTATCAAGGCTGCGCCGTATGAGAAAGGCACCATCCAGTATAATAAAAGTGTAATTCAAGTCAATTAATATCTGGCCCTAGGGAAAAGAATTTTAAGATTGTTAATGGAGATTGCTTGGAAAATAGAGGAATAGAAATGTAGTTTAGAGTTATAAAAATCCACATAAAACTCCATTTTTAAGCCACATTTTAGGCCACATTTTATACCACTTTTTAGGCCACTTTTTTGGACACTTTCTTTACCTTTAAATTAGCGCCATGTTCATAAATCGATTCCATTTCATTGCTCTCCTCGTAGAGGGGCTCCAACTCATTGATGCTCACATAAGCCACGCACATATCCATTTTCTTCGAGCGACTAAAGATGTACAGATCATCTTTGCTATTCTGAGTGCTCAGCCATTGCATTTGCACATCGATGTCATCGTACACGGGACTCGTGATATTAAAATCTCTCAAAATCATAATCAATTGAAATTTATTCTGCGCCAAAGGTGCCTCCAGCACATGGGGGAATGTCAGCAAACAAAAGACCCTAAAAGGGAAGACTATTCAATGAGGAATGACTTTGTGGAAATAATTGCAAACCCACGTCGTGTAGGGCTGTGATATGTCTGCATAACGCCAGACATCATGATTAAGCACGAAATTCACAAACTTTTTGGCAAAATTATGTGTGGGCAGCAGCTGTATATCCATGGAAAAAACATAATACGTAAGGACATTGAGACGTGCCACATTCCGCAGCAGATTCACGGGATATTGCAGCTTCTTGCGATGCCAGTAGGTCAGATCTTGTGTCGAATTTAAATATACTGATGCTGAATCACACATTAAGGGATCGGCTGTGACGCCCATGCTGCCACGCCGTAAATTCTTAGGCATGTGCTGCTGGTGCCACACCAAATGAACGCTCACAAAGCGTTGCATAAGGACACCCAACTGCAGGCAGGTATTAATGTAGGCCAATCCCTTGATGGTTTTATCCATATCCTCACCGTTCGCATAGATCGTGAGGCTAATGGGCGCTTGCCATCTGCACAGACGACACTTTTGGATTGGAGAAATCTTTTCTGTACTCTGTCTCTCACCTGATTAGCAACGTTGGCAGTAGCTTCAGATCCGCATAGGTGCCATGTGTGGCCAGCGTAACACTTTCATTGGCAATCAATACCTCGCCCGCCACTATATAATTATGCCATACCCAGTACTCGCCATGCTGGCGCACATACCCTGGATTCTGCCTCGTCGCTGATCTGTTTTGCTCGAAATTGCTTTGAATATTTTGCAGCAAACGTGTTAGGCTGTAGCCGATGAGCACCAGAGTGAGTATCAACAGGATTTTGGCAATAAAGGGAGACATTTTTCTTTGCAGCTTTTTGAGAACAAATTACGTATTTATACACGGTATCAAAAGGCTACTACGAGTAGCACGTGGGAATCTTTATTGTATAAAATTTTAACTATAATTTTAATAAATATGAAAATTTAAATATAGAAGGAACAAATATAACAATCGAATAATAAATAAAATAAAAGAGAATAATTTGTCTACTAATAATTGATCTTTAATCAATAAATTATTTAAATGATTCGATAATGTAAAAAAAATTGTTCAAATCGATAATTGATCGATAAATATAATATATAATAATAATAATATAAAATCTTAAAATAGTATATGAGAATTCGATGAAAAAAATATAACTGGATCTCTATATATATATATAAACAATCAATACAAATATGAAAGCGAAAATGTATCGATAATAAATCGTTATTTAATCGATAGGTAACCAACAAAAAAAATATATTACTGATATGCAACAACATATATTCCTCCCCAACCGACGCCCTAAGGGCACTACGCACACACAAATCTCTTCTAAATATTTTTACCAAGCCTATGAAAAGTGCTGGAAGTCACTAGTTCCTTTTCCTTATACAAAAACCCTTTAGCATTTACAGCATTTCGTAGCAGAACATTCGACACAAGTTCCTGTCTGTGAAAATACTGCGAGTGATCAAAATTCGTACCCATTGAAGCAGCTTCTTCATCCTGCCACCATTTCTGTGGCTGCAAGTGCCACAATTTTTGACCAACTTTTGGCATTACATAAATAATAATTGGTGGCTGTGGCTGGAGATTGTCAGACTTCGATTTTTCGCTTATTTCCTCTCTGTATAGAACGGGATTTAGCGGATCCATGCCATAAAGTCGTTGATATTTTTCACTATGCACCAAAACCATAATCTGCACAAAGGCAATCAAAGCAAAGGTATCATAGGCCACAAGCACTGAAAATCGGGCATAAAATATATCAGGAATCGGTGGATTATATTTATGGTACATACTTGCATAGAATGTGAGAACGAGTGTCAACAATATCAGAGTCGTTAAGGGCACAACATGACGTGCAATTCGCAGGGCAATCACCGATAGTAAAACTATTTGCATGAAGTAAAAGAATTCGAAGACGAACAAAGGCAATACATAGTATTTCTTGAGCTATGGAAGATACAAAAATTATGAACAAGTGAAAGAATGTGGAAAGAACTTTACCCTATAAGCACCAAAGGCACCCACAATGCAAGACAAAATATGACAAAAGCTGTAGAGCTGGGCAAACATCATAATTTCCTTGGGATCTGCAATGCGAAATGGGCGTAGTTTTAGTTTATATTTTCACACTTGATATCCAACTTACATTTCTCCACCCAATTGATGGCCTCTTGTACAATAATACTCGCTCGATAATTTGCATCATTTTCAAATATGCGAATCACTGAAAATATGAAAGCGGTGCCATTGTCAAATATCACATACATAGTGATGACGCTTTTGCACTGCAAAAATTATAAGAGAAATATATATAGAAATTTTGCAGACTTTACACTACTTTGATTCGCATATTTACCATGGCAAAAAAGCATATAACGAGGGTGCCCAAACGCACAGAAGCGCAAAAGAAATAGCTCTGCATGAGCACCATGTTGGCTCAAAACTATCTTTATTTGCAGCGACATTTTGTGGCATATCTGTTCACCCTGAGTCGCAGCCAACGAATGATAAATGTAGGCAATACTCATATTTTATAAGCCATAGACTCCATTACCATATGGGCTCCAATGCAGATTGGAATCTTTGGAACATGTTTTTGTCATTTTTGTGTTTCGGTGGGTAATTGCTTTACCCTTTGTTCTGCCGGCGCAGTGTTTGCTTTGCTGTCGTGGAAATTGGTTAATTTACCGCTTGATTTATGTTTGAACATTACAAATAAAAAATAAATAATAGTTGTGTAGACAATATGTTATTTATGGAATCCTATATGTGCTATTGCTCAGTGCGTTTGGGTGTCATCGTTGTGGCTATTCTAACGATTGTAGGTGCCCCTCTGGCAGGTCCCATCTTTGTCTTTGGTTTAATATTTATTTATCCTTCAGCTACGCTGCCTGTCCATGAGCATTGTGCTGTTTGTGTTGGGTGTTGCATGTTTTGACCCCCTAATCGATATATTGGAGCACGATGCGGACTATAAGGATCGCAAAATGGTGCGCAGATTAATCAATTGGATAGAAAATTGCAAGTATTTAAAAAAATTTTTTACTGCCTTTTTATTGGCATATATTTTACAATTTATTTAATTTCTTTTTCTTTAATAGCTCCTGAAAATTTCCTAATTTCGCTGCAGATAATTTTTTTACGCACACTTGCAGCTGCCATTTTGAGTATTTGGGGTTCATTAAAGGTATTTTTGTATACTCTAAATCCACATTTAAATAATTATTTTCTACCTTTTTTTTTAAGTTACAAAAATGGTTGGTGCTGCCGTTGGCCTTTTTTGAGTTGGCTTACTTTTTACAGTTCACCATTCAGCATATTTTCCTGATGATAATGCTGAAAAAACAAATCAATTTGGGTTTGCTTATTATTCTTACCCTCATAGGCAGTTTCTATATACGTAAGTATTCGCTTTTCAAGGACTTAAATCGAAGAACTAATCCCCACTTTTTATTGCCAGTTTTTGTTGGCTACAATGCCTTCACCTGTGTGGCCATGTTCCAAGTAATTTCGCTGGTGCGCAGCCCTCAGTATCGGGAGCTTTATGGCGATGATCCATTTCATCCGCTTGCCACGAGGTCGCATCCACACAGGGACTCATCGGTGCAACAGCTGCGTGTGCTCAAAATGGACAATGACAGCGACACGGACATTGATGAGCAGAAGCGTTTGTCCAAGCTGGGTCTGTGGCCGCGTCGCTATCCACAGGTGGTATCCGTAATACCTGTACAGGCGCCATATCCACCGCTCAAGTGGTGGCAACTGCAGGCCATGGACACGGGCCAGGACAAGCTGCAGCTGGACTCGTCGGCCGTCTATCGTAACTGGCAGCAGGGGGAGCTGCTCAATGGCGTGGGCGGTGAGGTGCAGCGAAAAAATGCACTGAATCGCCGCTATGCGGAAAGTCAAATGCATCGATGGTACTAGCAGCTTCAATCATAGACCTTCAACAATTGGGAATCCTTTATCAACTTGTTCAATAAAATTATCGATTCCTCTTTTGTGCACTTAACAATCGTGAGACAACGTCCTCTACATTATCCTTAGCTTTTCACTACCAAAACTTTTACGATTTCTGGTCTCTCTCGTTTTTTTTTTTTGCATAAACGATACTACAGATTATGCAACTGTCTGGGCAGGACACTTTGCATATCCAACAGCGACCAGGAAGTGGGCAAGTGCTGGTTTTGGGGTTTGCGGGTTGGAGGGGTTTTTGGAGGGGATGCTTCAATGGTTGGGACTCGACTTACAAATGCTTTTTGCCATTTTACATTCAACCAACAAAATGAACAGCAGCAATAGAAAGAAAAAAGAGAAAGCAGCAGCGAAACAGAGAGAGAGAGAGCGAAAGCAACAAAAAAAATAGGATAAAGGGAAGAGGAGGAGCCATAAGAAATGGCCGTTGGACCATTGTGTTTTTGATGCAAAAAAAAAACCAACAAAAAATAGAAAAAAACGACAACCAAAAAATCAAAGTGTCTAACAATTGGCGACGGATGCAATGGACCATGAGCCTTCTTTTGGATAAAGCCATGGGGGGGATAGGGGATACCAACGATACACTCAATTTCTCTCTTTCACTCTCTCTCTCTATTGCTCTATCTCTCTGTCGCTGTGTGTGGCAACAACAAACTCTGTGCCACATGGACACGACTTGTCCTCAGGAGATTTTTCGTAGCTGTGCTGTGTGCTGACAGTTTTGTTGACTGCTGAATGCTGTTTTGGTCCCCAGCCCTGTTGCTGGGCACAACTTTTGCTCTAATTTAATTAAAAGTTTTCACTTAAAAAAAAACAACAACAAGAGCCACAAAATATATATGACACACCAAAGTCAATCAGTGCAGGGATCCTGTTTTCTGGTCTACTGAGACTTCCAAAATTGTGCCACAAAAATAATTGTTTCCCCTTTTGCTAGGGAGAAATTTTGCATGAAAAAGTTAACAGAACGAAATGGAATTATCAAAAAATAATTAAAAATATATATAGTTAAAGGACAAATATAACTTTAAACTAAAGTCTGTTACTTTATGCATTTTGCCCATTTTAATATTCTCTTACATTCGTTTTCCTAATCATTTAATGGCATAATCACGACATAATCAAGGCAAACATTTTTCAAACCTTTTTTGTTATTTTTTAGCACACTCTAGGACTTTTCAGGACATGGATGGGGGGAAGGGGACACACGTAAGCCGTTACGTGTCGCTGATTATCTGTCGTGTGCTTAGCACGGGATTAAGTTGCCAAAAAGAAGAGAAAAAAACGTGCAAAAAGTGAGAGAGACAGAACAGGGAAGGTTCTAGAGGGCGTTGGAGTAGTAGTTACCAGTAGCGGATTTGGGGGCACCAGGTGGAATAGTAGAAACAGACTCCACACAAAAAAAGCAACAAAATTGTGTGCCAATAAGGGAGCAAATATTCCGTGCGTTAATGTAAGGGGAGGCATTCGAGGGAACACTCACACGACACTCGAATTAAGTTCAAAGGCACGCACCAAACGAAAGAGAATGAGAGAGAGAGAGAGAGAGAGGCACCTATTCATCCAATTATGCTCACCTTTAATTATGACACTTGGAATGAGAGTGTCCGACAGCGCTGCAGCTGCGCTCTCTCATTATTCATCTTGCTGTAGAGAGAGGCGATTATAAAGAGAGCACACAAGAAATGCAAGCCGCCTACGCTCGCGTACAGCACGTCAATACTGTCACATCTCACACTCCGCCCTCCCCCGCACCAACAAGTGATTGCTCTCTTTTGAATTAGCAGTGGATGACAATTTGCAGTGAGAGAGCAATTAGAGCGACTATTAAGCCGGCTACGCATCTGTACCCGCTCTCTCACGTTTTTTTTTTTTCCCACGGTCCATTATAAATAAAGCGCGCGTGTCACAAGTTAGCTGCGCGTTTTCAAGCCGTGAAAAGTGGCAAAATATGGAAAATTAAATGAAACAAAGTATCGCTCAGCTGTGTAGGGTTCCGGTGTGGTAAGATATGGGAAAATTGAGCGGGAATAAAGCAGATCTTTAATAACATTTACAACTTGTGTGAAAAAGTTCATCAGATGTCTCATGCGCGTATGTATGATTTTACATGCGTACATGTGTACATACTTATGTAAGTATGTTTAATTTGTTTGTTTTGGTTTTTTCTTTGTGTGTGCTCATCTGCTTGTCCCGTTTTTTTTCGCTTTTGTCGTTGTTTCGTGTCGTTTGAGTGTGAAAAAAACAGCAAACAAAAACAAGAAAATGCTTACAAAACAATCGTTAACATCATTAATCGTTTAAATAAAAAAATGAAATTAAAAAAGAAAAATCGAACCGTAATCAGAAAAAAAGCAGAGGTAAAAAAGACTTGATTGTTTTTCGGTTTTGTTTTTACTGTTTATACCTCTTTATACCTCCCTCTCTTGCTCCTCTTCTTGGGAAAATGTGTTGCTGCTTATTGTCGTTTTGTCGCCCCTTGGGGACACCTTCAAGTCCGCTCCTGTGCACAGACGATGTGTGACATTTACCTTACGAGTAGAAGTAGGGGGAAAGCCAACAAGTGGATGTGCTCCAGGGGGCTGTTTGGCTAGCAGACATCCCCTTTTATATTCCCTTTACACCCACTCGCAAAATAGCTGCAAGGACTTTTAATTCAATGTGCGTGTATGTGCAAGGCTGAATGGGATTTAAGGCGCCCCAAAGCGTAGATGCAAAGTGATTTAGATATTAACTTGTGACTAGGTTGCAATAACTGTGCAAGAAGCCGAAATTTCAATGAGCCTGCATTTATTTCTTGGATTTACATTGAATTTTTGCTCTTAAAATCCTCTGCCTGCCAAGCATTGATTGATCTGCGGATTTCTTTTACACATTTTACACATTTATTATCAGAAATAAACCATAATAAAAATATTAAATAAAAGGAGAAATTAGTAACACAAAGCCCCACTCGTGCCCCCCTTTCTATATGGTGGGCAGATGATGCTCTGTGCGATGAAGAAGATTTCCGTTCTTATTCAGAGGCTGCAGCTTCACATAATCCTGATGCGGATGATGATGATGCTGTGTGCCGGTCAACAGCGGCAATGAGGTGTTTGAAGTCTGTCAAAAGAAAGGATTATAATTACATATATCTTTTTGAGCTGCAATCGACTGCAACTCACCTTTGATTTATCACGAGCCGCTGCAATGGCTGCCGCTTGGGCCGTGCCCGTTTGGAGCTGCTGTGCGGCTGTGGCAAGCATAAACTGCTGTGAGGCAAGCTGCTGTTGCCGCAGTGTGGCCGCCTCCATGCTGTTCATGTGCTCCTGTTCCCGCTGCTTGGCTATGTAGTCGTCAAAGTACGAATGTTTAATTAACTTTTCGCAGGACCAACGCTTCACGGGGTCTTTGTCCAGGCATTTCTTTAGAAAGTCAATGGTTAGCGGATTTTGCAATGATTTGGGCGGCATTTTATCCTCCAGCGGCTCCAGCGTGGGCGGCACCGGCAGCGTTATACCCTTGAAGTACTCGTTCTGTCCGAAGATCTGTATGTGTCGTGGCAGGAGATCGCCCAGGGTTTTCCGTATAAGATACAGCTGATCCACATCGCTGCGGCCCGGCCACAGGGCCTCTCCGCGCACCAGTTCCGCAAAGAGGCAACCAATGGCCCAAACATCGACGGGTGTACCATACTGTGTGTCGCCCACGAGTAGCTCGGGCGCTCGATACCATCTGGTGGCCACATAGTCTGTGTAGTTCTCCCCCGGACTCAACATTCGGGCGAAACCAAAGTCGCACAGCTTCACCTGGCCCTGTGCCGTCAGCAGTATATTCTCCGGCTTGATGTCCCTATGCAGGCAGCCCTGCTTGTGGCAATAGGCCACGCCCAGCAGCGTCTGGTAGCAGATCTGTTTGGTTAGATGTTCGGGACAGCCCTGCGGATGACGTTCGAGCTCATGGAGCACCGTCAGCTCACAGAACTCAAAGACCAAATGCAGGCGACGCTTGCGACGAAACACTTCCAGTAGGGAAACCAAATTTGGATGCTTGAGGTTCTAAAAAAAAAAAACAAATATAAAAGAAAAATATATAAAATGCTAGAAAAGAAATCTATCTGTAAATATCTTACCTTCAGTAGCCTTATCTCTCTCAATGCAATTTTTCGTATTGCCGGATCATCTTCGGACTCGACAAATCGCTTCACTGCCACCAGGGCGCCCGTCTCTCGATCCCGACACTTGTAGACCACTCCATAGGATCCCTCGCCCAGTCGACTCAATTTCTCATAGCGATCCATCTTGCTGCTACCTTGTGGTCTATAAAAAAGGCATATAATAATACATAATTAAAGATTATTTTGATATTCAGTAATTTTCTATTTTGTTGCTAACATTCAAATTTTGTGTTTAAGCTTTACCTTAGGCTCAAACATTGACCACGTTTGATGTTTGCGCGTCGCATTGCTTTGCATTGACCACATAAAATGTTTAGAAATGTTTCTGTTTGATATCTCAGACACGAACACATGGAACACACAGAGATACGAGATACGAGAGGAGGATATATGCAATGAACTTTTTATGGTTTATACGATGAATTTATGTTTGCTGTTGTTGCTGTTGTGGCTATTTACAAGATTTTTGTCCAGAATTTTGTATGATTTTAGTTTTTTTTTTTGGATGAAATGAAAAAAAAAACAAATGAGATAAAGTTTTAGAATGATTAAATTTGGTTGCATTTAATGTGGAATTTTAAAGAATATTTTGAGAAAATCTAAAAGAATATTTTGAGAATATTTAAAGGAATATTTTGAGAATACTTAAAGGAATATTTTTAATTTAAAAAGGTGTTTTTAGTGGTAATGTATAGCCCTGACCAACGGGAGATTCATTTTGATATTTTTTGTGGCTTTCTTTATTTTTAAAAGTACTTATTTTTAATTGAATGATCTTGAAAGTAAATCTCTTAAATTTCAAATATTTTCTGCTACGATAAATTCCTTCAAAGTAATTTAAATTAAAGATTTATAAAAATTCAATTTGTTTAAGGAGTTAATTTTGAATATTTCATTAAGGGGAGGTCGGTCTGAATTTCTAAATTTTTCTATTAAATACCTACGCATATCCTCACGATATTCCAACCCTATTTCATATTCTAAACTCTATTATCCCCTGGAAAAAAAATCAATATTCTTACTATACAAACTTCAAATAGATACAAAGTCAATTAACTTCCACCCTCCCTTCCTACCTCTGCGCCCACCAACATTAACACGAAACCAAAATCGATTTTCAAACAGAGAATTTTCCTTTCAAAAACTCACTATTACATGGGTTTCATGAGAAGCTTTTCCGGAGTGATAAGACCACTCAGGTGGCAGTTCAATGCCAATCCGTCAAGCGGCAGGTAAGTGAACTTTATTCGAGGCTTTTCCACAGCGAGTTTTCCCAACATGTGTGTAGGTCATAAACAGAGTAACGAAACATAACATGCAATTAAATATTGAACGGTGCAGGTGCAGGTGGAACAAACACAACACCAATAACAAACAAAGAGAAACGATACAGAGAGAGAGAGAGAGAGAGGGAGTATGTGGCAAGCAGGCGACTTACCTAGGAACCCATCTGGCTAATATCTGACGAATTTGCCACTACATTTTAGCAGATTTACAAATGAATTTAATTAAGTATTCTGGTTAAATTTTTTTTGAAGAGAAAAAACTCTACGATACACACCATGCGCCACTTCAAAAATTTCCTTTCGGGTCTCTTCAATCAATATGGGGGAACGATTGTTTTTTTTTGTTTGTTTCTATGTGCGGATAGTTGGACGTTTGTTTTTTATGAGTGACAGCCAACGACTGTCTATCGTTCCTGGGTCTGGGTCCCTGGGTTCCTAGGTCTTTCCCTATGCCACTGGCCAATGTCATAGCAATGCGACCAAAGTTAATACAAGCACAAAAAACCACAACAAAAGCCAAAACCATGCGCACAAAAGTTCTACAAGAAGTTTTTCACCCTTCAGTGAGGCGGGTGGCACTAGCACTAGCACTGGCCCCCTAAACACCCTTCTCCCATTCCCTATTTGTTGTTTTTTTTTTTGTTAGCGACAACCGGAAGGAATTTGAGGCGTAGTTCTTTGCCTTTCTTTTGCATTTCTTTCCCCCTTGTATTTTTTGAGGTTAGCTACGGTAGGAATGAAGTTTTCTCCAAGGAAAACTGGGCTTTTTCTCGGTCGGTTTTCCTTGTAAAGCAAAAGAACTAGTGCAGCAGTGCACTGGGATGTCTGTCTGTAGGGTGTGGTTGGGTTTCAGTTGGTTGCTTTTATTTCTTTTATTAATGGTTAAATGTTAAGGCAATTTATACCCTAATTAAGGTTACTTTTTCTTGAGCATTACTTTCTTGGGGTTCTACTTTTTGAAGGGGGTTCCAAGTCTACTTTTAGAGGGGTTATACGACTGTATGGACACTGCCTTTAAGGGACTGTTATTACCGACAATTTGTTGATGATTTGTTGCACCTATTACCGGAAATTAATGGTGATTAGTGTAGAAAGTACATTGCAGTGAAGCGCCATTTGATAATCTTGTTCTGTGGTACTTTAAAATTCTTTAATTGCTTCATTAATTATGCAAATTGTGGTTCACTTTTGATTGTTGTTGAGCAATTGTTGTGGGATAGTTGTTAAGGAATTAAAGTGGCGGACTATTATATGCTTGAATTAATGATTGCCGGAACTTAAAGGGGATTGAAAAGAGTTTTCCTAGTGGAATTTCATGAAAATGGAAGGATCTTTTTTCATTGAATTGAATTTTTTGAAATATGTAATTTTTCCTCAATAAATATAATAAAATAAAAAATAATATTGTAACGTATAGTATATTGTAAATAATACTATCCGTATATTTTTTGTTTAGTATTTTTCATATATTTTTGATTTTTTATTACATAGAAAGGAGCTTTATCGGACGTATCCAAGAAATAGTATTTCTTAGCTTTTTCTAAAGGGTTACTGAATAGCAGCTACAAAGTAACATATTTCTTGGTTTCTTTTCTTATTTATAAGACTTTTCAAATTTAAATTTCATTTCCATTTCATAAAAACAGCTTTCCCCACTCAAAATTAAATTCTTTTACCAATTCAAAAATTTCGTACACTCTTTAAATGAACTCCCCCAATCATATTCAACCTTCAAAAAGTTGCCCTTGCTTACCTTCTTAGAGAAAACAGTTTGGATATTTCAAACATTTTCATAGCTAACAGGAAGTACGAGTATTCGCTCCAATCACGTTTCTAGTTATAGAGATATTTTAGTATGTGCTCCCTTGAGCCTTCTTCAGCGAGGAAGACCTTCTCGAAGGCGGAAGCAAAGCGTAGACCTGCGCAAAAAGCGAGTTTCACCGTTTGGAACGCCGACGAGGACACACAACGATGTGGAAACGTCAAGAGCCGGCAAACAACTGAAGGCAGAAGGCAGGCAGTGTTTTTGGCTAGAATCGCCGCTTCAGCTTAGCGTTTGCTGAAGGCCCCGAAATGGAGTTTCGAAATGGGAAATGGAAGTGTGTGGCAGCGGCAGTGGCAGAGTGACACGGGCCTGGGCATGGCGCATGCAACGGATGGACATTGCATATGGACGATGGCGACTCTGATTTCATGTTGATTTTCCCACTTTTCTTTTGTTTGTTTTGATTGTTTGTCGCGTGTTGCATTATAAATGCATTAAAAAAATGCAATGAAGATGGCGTACAATATAAAATATGAAGGCATAGCACGCATACAAAGGGGCGAACGTATCAGATATGCAGAAGGCAGGGTTATCCTTGATGGGATGAATTGTTTGATACCCCCGCATATCCGTGATTTCTATGGGAAAGGAATGGTCTTTTCTTCTTCAAGGGTATCAAAAGAACAGGAAAACTCCTCGTCTTCTCTACGCTTTTTTTTGTCTTGAATTTTTGACCTTTCTGGGGCTGGCCTGATGGAGTGACCTATGAAGAGACCGACCCTTAATCCAATCAAAAGCCACACCATTCGAGTGAGTTTCTGCAGTTTAATTTGCATAATTACAGTGAAGTCTCCTGCCGACAACGCCTCCTCCTTCATTATACTCCACTCCTACTTGATTTTTCTGCTCCTTCGCTCTCCCAGGACTTCTCTTCTCCTGCTTTCACCCACTCCAACTTCTCTCGTCTCGCGTTTTGCCTTTTGTTCTGGCTATTTATACTCGTATATTTGACAGCTTTTGTTGCTCCGTGTAAATACTTTTACATTTCTCTACGCCAGCGCCGCCGGCGCTCTTTTTGCTTTTAATTATTGTACTTTTTGTGCCGTTATTGTTTTCTCTCGCACTCTCTGACTCTTGATATTTGTTGTATTTTTAGTTGTTGTTTGTATTGCTATTTGTTGTATTTATTGTTCTATTAAGCGTGATATTTGCATTTCGATTTTGTTTTTGGGGTCAACGGCTGTTCAACTTTCTGGCTTTTGGCTTTTGTAGGCGGAACGGAACTATTGTTGTTGTTGTGTGTTGGTGGCGCCTCCTTTGTAGTGCTATTGATTGCCCCCGCCCCCACCGTAGTAATTGTATGGGGCAGAAAACGGTACTTTTGAAGAGTGCGAAATATATAAAAGTTTGTGAAGTGGTTGAGCCGATGTCTGGGAAATCAAATGAATTATAAAGTGAAGGACTTTGATGTTTGTTTTAAAGTTGGAAAATCAAAGCTGCTGAGGGAAGGGTTTGAGCAGGAATTGTTTTGGATTTTGAAATGATTATTGGGTGTTAAATTAAATTTTAGATAGGAAAGGATATTTTAAAGAAACCCTCTCGTTGATTGGGTATTTGTTAGTGGGGGTAATAAGAAGTTGTGTACCATTTTAACCCTAGAAGGTCTTTAAGTGGTAGAAAGAGTCCACTCGAAGGAAAGTTAAAATAATTACAAAGAAATGTAAAATTTGTCAGAGATGCGGAGATAAACAGGCTGCTTGGACTATTGCATTTATCTTACACTGCCATGCACTTGAATAGGTACCAGCATTTTTTTATTTGTTTTTATGTATAATTTTACTGTTCCCTCAATCGATTGTTGGCTATTTGCATGTGCAGTGCTGTAGATTTTGCTACCTGAAGTGCAGAAGAGTCGCAATTCCGTTTCCCCCCTGCTCGTTTGGGCTTTACAAGCTTCGATCCGTCTTCAGCACTAGGGAGGATGTAAAGTCGAAGAGAGAGAGCAACGATCGCTGCCTGAGCTATCATGTCCGGGCCTGCCAGTGAGCAGAGCTTAGGGCGTCGCGTCGCGACGCGTTCACGCGTGCACTCGAGCTTCCATACTCTCATTCTTGCTCTCTCGGCAACAACAACAACGCATTGCACATGGCAGATAGGACTCTCCCTCTCGCTAGGATGCCACGAGCTCTCTCTCTACCAGTTTCCATATAAATATATCTATTTTTTCCCTTTTTTTATATATATATAAATATTTCTATATTTTTTCCACGTTTTAAATGTTTTTTTTTTTACATAAATCGTGTAACTTATATTATTCCTCTTATGTTTTTATATCAAAATGCCTTGAATAACCCTTAAATATTAAACATTCAAAACCTTTTTTCTCCATCATTTAGAATTTTTGTGAAATTCCTAAAACCGAAATACCTTCTATCCGTATCAATTACCTGACCTCTTGGCCTGCAAACTGCCCTTTTGCATTGCAGAGGAAAAAACCCTGGTCTCACATTTCATAAACTGGTCTAAAAACAGCACACAAACATGGCTCCAAAATATAAGCAGTGCAATCAGAAGAAACTTTTCCCTTGCTGGGGCAAAAAATAGAAATAAATAAATGCCAGGGCAATGAAAAGTTTTACGAGTACGAGAAAAATGGCAAACGCTGGCATTTTCCAGGCGTTAAAACAGATACGCGACGGGAGGAGGAAGGTAAAGAGGTGTTGAGGATGCAAAGGGGGGCGAGCATGTGCATGGGCATTGGTTAGCGGTGTTGTGTTGACGTGGCCTTGTGGCAAAACAAGCGTAAAATGCAATAAATAACAAGCTATTAATGCCAAATGCTTGCACACGCACTAAGCGACTCGACTCGACCCGACCCTCAGGGAGGTAGTTGGTTAGAAGCATTGCATACTTATAGAGGATACATGGCCAGAAAGGAGCACCAGGAGCCAAGTGGAGGCAGTGGCAGAAGTGGCAGACAGCAGTTTGTGTGTTGTATGTGGCAGCGGCATATGCGTGTGCAAACAAAGGCCAAGGCCGCTGCAACACGACCACGACTTAAATGTCATTGGATAAAACTTTATCCTCTCTCTTTTGTAGCGAGATACACTTTGAAAGAGCTACTGGGGTTTTCCAGAACGAAAAACCTGCCGACTACTGAAAGTAGATCTGAACCTTCGCA